GTAGATGCAGAATGCAGGAAAGAAAGTCCTGGGCGGCGTGATGGTCTGGGAAAGAGGCTGGTGGCTGCAATCCTTCAAATTGGCAGGAGCAGGGCGTCTATCGGGGCGGCAGGTGCAAGATCCTGTAGCAAAGGCAAGCAGGAGAGACACGATGAGTAGGAAGGAACGAGGCGCGGAAAGGTCAACAGCGGAAGGCGCAAAGGACGCCGCACGAACGAGGCGAAATTGAGGCGACTGTTCAAAGAGCAGAAGTCAAGTGCACGTCTCAACTGTTAGACGTTTATGTCTCCAAATCGAGAAATTCCAGGTGGTGATATAGAACTCTCGTCGCCAGAAAATGACGAGCATGGCGAATTGTGGGCACAGAGGACCGCAGGACAAAGATCCTAGCCTCCGGGTCGCTTTCGCCAGCCGCGTGCAAGAACATGTTGCCTCAGTAGGGTATCTGGCCACACCGCTTTGCCGATCGGAGATAGTGTTTGACTCATCGGCGACGCAGGAAGGCGCGAACGAGGGGCAAGCCCGTCCGGCCAGTGTCAGCTACCTGCCAAGCAGGGCACTGGCGGCAATCTACGAAGAGAAGAGACGAGTCTGAATTGGGAAGGAAGAAAGCCACGGAATAAAATACGGAGCAGGCAAGTGCGATTGCAACTCCCGCAAAAGTTACACACAGAGTGCTTTTCAGGCAAGGAAGCGGCGATAAAAAGGCTACAGATATGGAAAAGGAGAAAAGGAAACGGAAGTCCTTTGAAAAAACCGCGGCGAGCGGGATAAAGGCGTGAGATGCAGAGTGGACATGTAGACACACGCAGAGACAAGAGCTCGAGCCTGGTCAGTCGCATTTGCACTGCGAGGTAGTAGGAGATCTACGGCGTTGAATGTAGCACGGTAATGTAGCAGCACATACGAAATACACATATGCTCCTTCCCTGGCACGAATAGGACGTTGAAGCAGTTGCCAGGAAGAGAAACAAGGGCAAGGCTCGCGGAAGGCAGGTGCAAAGGCAGGTAAAGCAGAGACAAAAAACAAGGGACCAATAGCCCCTGCCCTTTCCATGGCCCGCTGTTACCGCCGTTCCTGCCTCATTCTTGGCCCGTGTTTGCGTACGAATTACATGTTGATATTGCAGTGGGGACCGGCGGAAGGAGCGGACTGCGGTTGGCCAGTCTGTTAACAACTTGCCTTTCACGGCAAGAGCACCCCCACCCCGGCCGCTGTTAGTGGGTGCAGTGGGTTGCCCAATGGATTTTTAAGGCACGAGCCAGTCCGTCAGCCTGTGACAGATGGACAGAGACCGGAAAGATTTTGAAAATACCACTCTAAGTGCAAGAAAGCTGATTTTGCCAGGTGAGGTTTTCCGTGCTGCATCCTCTGTATTTCCCAGACGAAGCCTCGTTCCGGGCAGTGCTCTCATGGCTGAGACGCCGAGTCATATGGTAACGGCAATGACTGTGCTTGGAACTTGGTATGGCTCTTCTTGTCATTTTCGTTTTCTATAATCTTTAGTGGTATTCTGCCAATTTTTTTTTGGGCCAAAGCATCTGACGGTATGAGACTTGTCTCATATCCTGAGGCAGGTCGGCTTTGATGACGAGACCAGTAAGGAAACGCAAGTGTGGCAGGCCAGGCAGCCACGCAGCATTAAAACATGTGGCCTCCAGCATAGGTGAGGGAAAACGTCAAAAGCTGAAGGCGAAGTGCAGATGACAAGAAGGGCATCGGAGACAATTCCGAATTTGTCCGGCAAATACAACGGCCTGCAACCTGAAGAGGGAGGCGTGGACGAAGAGGAGTGAAGTAATGGTGGGAAAGGTAGATTCCAAGGCCCAGGCTAGGTTCGACTACAAAGTCGGTGTAAAAGGCTGGTCAGCCGACATGCAAAGCGAGAGATGCAGGTTCCAGGAGGAGGGCGAGGCCGACATGCGACCTGTCTCGGTTTGTAAGTTTTATTGTCGAGTTACCCGCCGCACGGCTGCAGCCCGGTCCGGTCGAGGTATGCTGTCTGCAAGTTGTGCATCTACTTGGCCTACGAAAACAGGGCAATTCTGCAATTTGGCTATTTGTGCCAATATTTATAAAACGCGATGTTGATACCGCTGCGCCGGTTCGAAAATCTATGCAATGCCAATTGCCAGAGGCCATGAATGAGGAAAAACTGTAGTACGAAATACCAATAAAAGAAACCGCCCCAGAAAGCGCAGACCACTGGCTTTTTTTCTATTGTCGAATCTGGCTCTTCTCTATCATCAATCAAAGGGTATCTTGTCTGAAGATTTGTACTCGCCTGTGGCTCCACCTCACGTTCCACATGAACACGAATAGAGGTCCCGGACCGGACCTGACAGCTGCGCCAAAAAAGCTTCAAATCACGCCGCTGCTTTTACGAATATTACGACGGGGAAGTCACCAACGAAGGCCCCAAGGTACCACGGCGAACAGGCCCCGGCAGGGTCTAATGCACGGCTCTGTGACCAACCTGACCTTGCTTGTGGGTTGGTCACATCAGTTGCTACTGGTCCCCACCCTTTCTCATGCATTTGTTTCATTCCTTTTTGTTTATCGCCTTTTGCTCCACGCTTCTGCCATTTTTATCGACCTTCCTCTTTCTTCATTCTACAGCCATCCACCCCTCCCCCATCCATGTCTCTGTAAATATTTCGTCCCGTGTCTCTCATCGTAGTGGTCGCCTGGCCGTAAGCACGGAGAGACGCTTTACCATTCACGCATTTTAATTATCCATGAAGCTACCCCGGTTCCATAGTCTTTTTTTTATTTTTATTTTTATTTTTATTTTTTTGACTTCCACGGAGAACTCGACTTCTTTTTTTCTTATCCAACACCAGACACCGATTTTTGTTGCGGTTATCAATTACCAACATTTCAAAACATTGCCTTCGACAAATTGAATAAAATGGACGCAAGGGATTTGATTTCATGTTCAGATTTCCTTTCCCCATGGGTTGTATGATGCGCCGTCGTAGTACGGGGTACTTCTACCGCCTGCATACCCAAAATTCATCATGTTGAGAAAAAATCGCGTGCTTGGTCGGCTGTGACTCACTGCCCATAATTCACAACTTTGAGATTAATGCTCGCGGGGCACAATCCGTCCGACTCACCTATACGCTTCTTTCGTCGCCTTTTCTTTTTAATACCGTTGGATCTTTCGAGCCCTCTAGTTGTTTGACATTTATGATGCACCTCATTTCGGGTGTCAAAAGTCACACCGCCGATAAGTGGTGTCGTCCAGCCAGAGCACAGCTTGGTTTGACGGTGTGGTGCTTTTATCCCGGGACGGGCGCGGGTGGGAGGGGAGGTGACTCCAGGCGGGGAGGCCCGAGGCAGGTGGACTTACAAGCCAGCCAAGAAAACACTTGCAACCGACAAGATCGTCAAGGTGTATCGCGACCACATCCCGTTAGTTGGACTAGGAACACTGACATCTCGCACCTCGGTCATTTTGTTGGCATAACGAGACGGAATGAGAAGGTGAGCAAGGCCGTAAGTTTCCCGCATAGGAGCAGTAAATATGCCGTAATTCCTGCCCGCTGCTGGGCCACAGCTCCGCCGGTACAGCTTGGCCAATTGTAGCAAACGCCCCCTCCCCAGCCGTGCCTCGCAGGACCGGCATGGCAACACACATGACCAGTCGGTGTTTTTTCGTTGGAAGATTTAGATCTGTATTGAGCAATATGCGGGTTGCCAGCAGCATGGTTCCGGGGCCATGTACAGAGATGAGGACCGTAAGAAGAGAGGATAGCGGGCGTCATAGCAGAGGCCAAGATTTGATATTTGAAGTTCGATGTCAAGACTACCATCCGAGAAAAGAAGGGAACGATCGAGAGAGCGAGGGACAGTGTGACATTTTGACAAACCGCTCTCGCCGACAGTATGAAACGACCAAAGATGGGGGGCATGCTCAGGTGCCTCTGAGGGACAGTTTGGAACGCTGCTCGTTCTCGCAGTGCATAAACGGGGGCGCATCTACGACTTACAATGGCAATGCTCTTGCTCGAGCTCCTATTCGTGCCAGTTATCGCAATTCGCGCATGTCGACCCCTGTGCACGTGCAGCTGTGATGCACGTCCGTTGCGCCTTCCTCAGTGGTCGTTACAGATTCCTGCCAAAAGTATGCTGTATGTCGGACTGCCGCCCGTTTTGTTAGTCGCCAGACCCACAGTGAGAGAAGTGACAGACACACAGTCTTGAAACGGCCGTGCAGCCCCGGTTTGAGGAACCGCGCTCAAGACAGGCGATCTGTAAAGCATGCACATACAAAGCGTCTACTGGTTCCCCGGTCTCTTGTGTAAACCTCCGTGGACAAAAGGACCGTTCCCGGATTCCGGTAGGGGCACGACACGTTCGACGGCGTTTCCGTGAGCATTGGTGCCTTCTACCAGTGCTGCTCTACAGTGCAAATTCCGTTTGATGGCACTGTACCCGGGAGCAAGCTCCACTAGCGTGTTCTGGCGTCTCGCAGCTGCCCGCAGCCATTGAGCCAATCGCGGTCCCACATACGTCGCACTTTACACGACAAGACGCGACACCCCAATCTGGAAGCGGCCAAGCCGTGGCTTTGCACCTCCGTCCGCCTCCACCATATGCTCCTGCCCTTTTGTCACGAACGACAACGACGACGTGCCTTCCTCTGCAACACACCACCAGCCGCCCATCGCCTTCCCTGGCTTGCTCCTCCCACGATCGAATCTCAAAGTTCGTGATAGTGTTTTGCTTCCCTCACGCCGGAGTCAGCCATAAAGCTCCTCTCATCGTCTGCTGCAAAATTCGTCCCCCAGCCAATCCTTCAGCCTTCCAGCCTCCTTCGACGACGACCTTCGTTCGTCTCGAGCTTCGAAGCCTCTTCTGTTCGGTTCTGATCGCCCTCGATCGATAGCAAACGTCCGCGACCGCAACGAATTCTTTCTCCGACGTCCTCCTTTTCGAGCAGCACCTGGGTCGACAACGGGCCTCTTTCTTCGGCCCTGAAGCACATGTCACCATGAAGAGCATACCCTTGATCATCAATTGGCATGACCAGAATGCCCCCATCTACTCTGCACACTTTGAGCCGCACGGCAAGGGCCGTTTGGCGACGGCCGGCGGCGACAACAACGTCCGGGTAAGCTCAGGAGTCGATGGCGAGGGCACTTGATCCGCCTTTGTATCTGAGATTGCGGAAGCTAATAACGTCCATGCAGCTCTGGAAGGTTGAAAACGATGGCGAGAGCAGAAAAGTCGACTATCTGTCGACCCTAGTGAAGCACACACAGGCCGTCAATGTGGTCCGATGGAGCCCAAGAGGTGAGCTTTCAGCCATCTTCTCTTTTTGTCATATTAGCATCACTAACATCACAGGCGAGCTGCTGGCCTCTGCTGGCGACGACGGCAACGTCATCCTCTGGGTGCCCTCGGAGACACATCACCCGACCTTTGGCAACGACGGCATCGAGGACAAGGAGAGCTGGCGGACAAAGCATATGTGCCGCTCCTCCGGCGCCGAAATCTACGACCTGGCGTGGTCGCCCGACGGCATGTACTTTATCATCGGCAGCATGGACAACATTGCCCGCATCTACAACGCCGCCACAGGCTCGCTGGTCCGCCAGGTCGCCGAGCACAGCCACTACGTCCAGGGCGTCGCCTGGGATCCTCTCAATGAATACATCGCCACGCAGTCGTCCGACCGCTCCGTGCACATCTACTCGCTGAAGAACAAGGACGGCCAGTACATTCTCAATGGGCTCGACGACAAGACGACCAAGGTGGCCAACCACAGCAAAGCCGACCTGCCGCCGCGCCACCTCGCATCCCACAGCCCCGCGCCCTCGGACATCACCACGTCTCATCGCTCGCAGCTCGCGGCCATTGACGCCGTCGGCATTGGCGCTGGCCCGACGTCCATCAGCTCGCCTGTCCCCTCGGCGCCGGGCACGCCGACGTCGTTTGCCCTGCCCATGAACCCGCCCAGCGTGGTAAGCCACAGCCGCCGCTCGTCATTCTCCTCACGACGGTCCGTATCGCCGGCCCCGTCGATGCCGCTGCCAGCCGTCATGCCCATGGAAGCCTCGCCCAAGCCGCATACGACGGCGTCGAGCATCGCCATGCGGAATGCGAGCCTCTACGCCAACGAAACGCTGACGTCCTTCTTCCGCCGCCTGACCTTTACGCCCGACGGCAGCCTCCTCCTCACGCCGGCCGGCCAGTACCAGACACAGCACCAGGCCGAGGGCGCCACCAAGCCCACTTACGAAGTCACCAACACCGTCTACATCTACTCACGCGGCGGCATCAACAAGGCCCCCATCGCCCACCTTCCGGGACACAAGAAGCCCTCTGTGGCTGTCCGCTGCTCGCCCGTCATCTACACCCTTCGCCAGTCCACGGCACCGCCAACCAAGCACATTACCATCGACACGTCCTCGTCCGAGGAGCCCATCCCGTCCCTCCCCGATCCCATCACCAAGCCTGCCTCTGCAGCTGGCACTCCTTCGGTCATGGATCCGCCGCCACCACCAAGGTCAACCGCAAACGATGGTCAAGGCACGGAGTCGACCGCCTCCGCTGCTGCTCCGGGCACATCGAGCTCGGCAACCACCACATCCACGACCACGACCACGACGGCAACGACGCCGGGGCCCAAATCTGTCTTTGCTCTAGGCCATCGCATGATTTACGCCGTTGCCACGCAAGACTCTGTGCTTCTGTACGACACACAACAGCAATCGCCCATATGTGTGGTCAGCAACCTGCACTGTGCCACGTTTACCGACCTGACTTGGTCGAGCGACGGCCTGACGTTGCTTATCTCTTCGTCAGACGGTTTCTGCTCGACGCTTTCGTTTTCGCCGGGTGAGCTGGGCGCGCAGTACACGGGCGACCTGACGGTCCTCTCGAACCAAAAGCGGGCGGGATTCGGGGCCGACGACCGCTCCTCCGCCTCGGCTCAAACCACTCCCATTCCTACACCGACCGCCGTGTTTGCACCGCCGTCACCCTATACGCACCAGCACCGCAACTCGGCCAGCTCGTTCTCGGCGCCCTCGCCACCACCTACAGCCTCCTTTGTCAGCAGCGGCCGCCCGTCGTCTCCGGCACGGTCCAACTCCACCTCGTCTGTCATCACTCAGCCCGGCACCGTCGTCCCCATACCGTCGGCCTCCACCACAAATACCGGCACCGGTGGGCCTGGATCCGTCATCAACAACCCGCCCCTCGTCGTGGGCACAATGCCCAGCCTGGCCGCTGCCTCGCCCAGCAACAGCACCATCATTGCCGGCCTTGCCAGCCTCAAGGCGCCGGTTGTGTCCAGCGGTGGTGGCGGCGCCAATGGTGGTGGTGGTGCCGCCGCCACCCCGCCCGAGACGCCGCGCAACCGAGCCAACAGTGCAACGAGCAGCATTGCCGGCAGTGTTGCCGGGAGCGTGGCGGGCAGCGTCGTGGGCGTGCCGCCGGCTGTGTCGGCGGTGCCTCCCTCGTCTGCTTCGGCTTCGGGCACAAAGCGCGATGCTTCCGCCATTGTCGCCTCCAGCAGCGAAGGTGACGGCAAAGAGGAGCCGACCAAGAAGCGCCGGATTGCACCGACGCTGGTGAGTGGGCTGGGCGGCGGTAGCAGTGGTGAGGGATCCAGCTCTTAAGGTTGGGAGTTGGGCCCCTTTTTTTTCTAAATTTCTCAATTTCTTTTCTTTTCGTTTTTGGCAATGTTTGGGAGTTCTACGTTTGTCGACGGCAACAGCCTGTCCCTGTACAACGAAGCAGTACAGTGAATTAAGGGACCGTGAGTGTGCTTTGAGATGGCTGATCTGAGCGTGGATTACAATTTGCACATTGCGCTTCCGTCGTTTGTTTCATTCTATTGTCAAAAGGATATACTTTGGGTTTCTGCCTTGTTTTTCTTGCAAAGGCGATTGGGTTTTGTTGTCATAATTTGCTCATTTTATTTACTAGTCATTTGCAATGGGAAACCTAACAAAAAATTTCCATGTTCATTAACATTCCCCTCTCCCGCGTCCGTTCACAAAATAGTTTCAAATTTCGTCTTGCTGTCCCGTGAACCACAAAATGTGTACGATGAGTCAAGATTGCCTCTCCCAACTGCCTCGTCCCTGACTGACCTCAAACGGCCTGCCTCCGATGCCTAATAATCCGATCGCGTTTCTAGGAAGGCACAAAAGGAAATGCAGTCTCGCCGAGACAATGCCACCACGAATCGGCTTTGGCGTGTTCAGGTCTTGTAAAAAGCCCAAGTAAACACATCACACGACCTAGCTGAGCCTAGGCAGCTGCTGTGTCCGCCAAATCACCAATCCTAGAATCATTGGCCAAAGCACAAATTGGAGGACCATCACGACGAGGATGACTCGGCGCTGCCGGGCGTTGAGACGGTCGACCTCACCCTTCGAGTACCATGAGAGCCCGCTGTCAAACTTACCCAAATACACCATGACGGAAATAAAAGGGAAGATGCTGACCGCCAGCATGCAATAGAACCAAGTCTGGCGCCGCTGCCGTCCTTCATGGGTGATAAAGGCCTCGGGATCCAGAGGTACGCCATTGCGCTCCAGATCCCGTTGAGACCCGGCTTCCTGGAGTGCAATGGCTTGAAGCTCAGGATCGGTTCCCCGTGTCCGCTGCCGACGGCGTGCATTGTAATCCCAAGGGTACAGTCGAGGCTGGCTGCTGTGGCTGATAAGACTGCTACCAACTGTAAAGCTCGGTCTCAGCCGCTCCTGGAAGCGGTGGGCAAGGTCGTCCAGTCGCAGCCTTGTTGCAGCAGATTTGAGCATGTGGGTTGGGCCGCCATGGCGAGTGCCTGTGCTTCCGAAAGGAAGAATTGTAGCCCACGTTCCGCCTGCTGTCGTGGAACTCATGGCGGACTGCATCGTCAGGTCCTTGGGCAGCGTGCGCCGTTTCTTCAGGCTGTTGCTCTGCTTGGAGGACCGAGTGGAGCTTGAGGCAAAGACGGAGGCAAACCGAGTCGGTGCCCGTGGATAAGCGCGTTCCGGGACACGGATGCGATGGGAATGACGTGTGCGCTTCTTGCTTGCTGTATTGCGCGCCCTGAAGGTGTCGGTAGCTGAGCTTCCGGTACCAGTTTCTCTTTCGACAGCCTGAAGACGCGCAGCTTCAGGCAGCGGGATGAGCGGGAACGGAAAGCTATGGACAGTGCCGGTGGAGCTTTGAGACGAGCTCGAATCACGCAGGGAGTGGCTGTCATCAATCACATCACCCAATTCAGAGGCCGTGATGTGGTTTGTGTCGCTGCGCGTATTTCCAGTGTCACTGGACAACCCCTGAAATTCGTATACTCCGCCCTTTGCAAAAAGAGGATCGCGGTCCGAGCTCTGGGAGTGATGACGAAATTCAAACCTCTTTCTTCCCTTTTCTAACTTGAATGGTGGCGGTTGGAGAGACATGGGGGAGAACCGACGTGTGCGTCTTCCGTTGAGCTGCCGAAAAGGGCTTGAAACCTTTCTGGCAAGTGCAGCGGCCGCGTCGCTTCCAGAGCGTTGCGAGTTTGGGTACGCGCGCGATGGATTCTGAGGATAGCCATTGACCCGGTGGACTCGATGCTTTGGTACCATGACGGGAACATTGATGCCGCTTATGTTATGAATCTGCAGGCTCTCTTCTGAGTCTTCATGCCCACTTGGATGCTGTACAATGCGATCCGTGGATGCATATTCGTCGAAAGGTACGTCGTTAAATCTACTGTCATCGGAGACGTCGGCCACACTGCTTCCAGTGAATTTGGCTCCCTTCGAATTGTAGGCCCCTAGTTCTCGATCCGGAGGAGGGTGCAGTCTCATGCTTCCAAAACCAGGTGCCGTCGTGGCCACGGTCTCCCAATCATCCCGCTCGCTCGAAGGCATGTTTTCTTTCTCCCGCCGGTAGAGGCTACCGGCTTGGAATGGATTTTGTGCGCATGGGGGCAGAGGCTTCTCGGATGTCATAGTACTTCCTTGGCCAAACTTCAAGCGGTGGCCACCACTGACGCTGGGATTGAGGCTCACATCCTGAAGCACAACCTTCACTTCATATGCGCTGCGCTCGACAGCCCAATTCGGCTGGATGATAGAGGTATCGTAGAATCCGTCGGCACTCTCAGGGGTCAGAGAGCGTGCCCGGGTAGGGCCTGTGAGAAAGGGGTCTTCACCGAGGTATTTGGGGATCGGAGGCGGTCGAAGCGGCAATTGGCGAGCAGGATGGTCGTCATCTTGAGTGTAGAGAGTGGCCCGGCTGTGCGAGCTAAGGCCACTGATATGGTTGAGAGCTGCACTGACATCCCGCTCCTTGGATGGATGGAGGAAGATGTTGTAGGTGTCTTTGTCATAGCGGAAAGGGTCCTCTTCCGAATCCGTTGTCATTCCTGCGGCAGAGACTGCCGTACCACTATGCAGGCTTGTGCGTTTTCCTTCCACACGCATTGATTGCACACGGAGGGGCTTTGGATACAGTAGACTTTCTCTGGTTGGAACGGTCAAGAAGGGACTGTCGCGCTTTGGGCTATCTGCTGACGTGCCTCCTGATGATGTCTTTTGTCTCCCATCTAGTGCGCGTTGAACATTGACACTCTGCACCGGCCGATCTGTAAGGTCGCCACACGGTGAACTGCTGCGGTCATTGGGACCAAATCCAAGACGATTGACCGCGCCGTACCGGGCACGCACAATATGCGGGATGACTGGGACAGGCGAGCTGTCGTTTGCATGGAATGGATTGAGAATGTGTCTCTGGTATTGTGTGTACAGACGCCCGACAGTCGTGTCGGTCGAATACACTGTCATTGCCCTGTGGGAGTCGGATGAGCGGTCAGGTCCCTGTGAGTTTCTGCCGGCACCCAAAAGTGAGAAGTTCTCTTCCGATACGTGCCGCACAAGAGGCGAGCAATTCTCGGTTTTGGACGCAGGTGTAGTGACGATGGCTGGCGAGCAGCTTCGCGTACCCTTTCGGTCAAAGATCTTGTCAAGCAATTCTTCCGGGTTTCCGAGATCTTTGAGAAGGTCCATTGAACTAGGAGAGAGCGGCGAAGGGAGAAAATCTTGCCGGGCGCTGTTGTCCTCATGGCGTGCAACAGTATCAGCGTCAAGAAAAGTAAAGTCCGTGCCCGTGTTGTTCGTGCTGCAAGATGCACTTCCGATCAAGCCATCGGCACCGTGAGATGCCGAGATACTGCGACCTGTGATGCTGCGATGGGCCTCACCGAGGTCTCGAAAGCGGCAGCCTTTGGGAAGCGAGCTTTTGCGGTCAGTATTGAGAGGTGCCAAAGCTGGCAACGCACAGATTTTGGTAGGTAAAAAGGTCGAGTTGAAAGAGGAGGCACGAAGGCCGTTGCGGCTGTTATCTGTTGCAGCCATGCTGAATCGGTAGAGGCTACTCTTTCGCGGCCATCAGAAACGTTGGAGATGGCTCTCCTTGCGACGCAAACTGGAGAGACAAAAAGTCGGTAAACAATCATCGGAACCAAAAAGGCGTGGGAAAACACACAAAAAATAAAGCGCGTGGCGTTGTGTGGACATATACGTGTCCAGCATTCGCTTGGGGAAGGAGCGATGAAAAGGATGTTGCATGTCGTTCCTGCCGTTTTTGGTCAGAATACCCAAGCGGCAAGACCGGACCTTCTGTGACAAAGAGATAATCAGAGAAAGAGATAAGCATGGAAAGAGCACATCGTGTCTTATTGCATATATACATGGCAGGGATTTGGGGCTTTGTGGTGTCGAGATATCGAATGACAGTGACGACGACATACACGAGTATATCGCGAGGGGGAAACGGTATACTGGGGGTTTAGGAATCGTTCGAGTTCATCAATAGATGAGACGCGCTGCTAGAATAGCTACATAACCCGTGAATATGTTCTCGAGCTTCAGAGTTAAGATGTATATGTTCTTTTTTCTCTTGTTTTATAATGAAAATATGATGTGAACGTTTTTACATTTGATAGGTTTTAAAACAACCACGGGAAGGCCAGAGTTAATTTTCTTCGTTCTATTTTCTATTCTTTTTTTTAAATAAATAAATAACCAATAAAATGACAAACTAAACAAACATAGAAGCAAAGCTATACTCTACTTTATCATAGACAGGATCATATACATGACTTACTGAAGTCGAAAAGGAGATGTAAATATACACAGTGTAATACAGTGCACAAACAAATTCGCACTTACAGGCTTAACCTTCCGTGAATAATACACGATGCCCCCCGCCCTTCCCCAACGGGATGGAACATGCTGGAACTCCAGGGCACTTCTTCCGCGTCGCTCACGGAGTATTACGATACTCCAACACTCCAATCCACACCAATGTTTTTGTGCCGCATACAATACAAGCATGAATGCGAGTATAGGCCCGACCCTCCTCGTCCCCATTGAGGGCTCTCTCACAGGAGCCACCTAGCCCTTTATCCACAGCATCGTATTGCGTTACCTCGTTATCGGATCGCTCCGTGAGGAGTAATTACAGGGCCACCATCATGGCCTCCTCCAAGCTGGAGCAGCTTCCCGCCGAGCTGACTCTCCATATTCTCTGCTGTGAGTTTCAGCAGACTCCCTCACTGTCAAAACAGCACCTGTTACCTTGCCAAATTCTGACGCAGCCGGCATAGATCTCGATGATGACGATATCGCGGCCGTCCAGAGCACATCTCGGCATCTGCGGCTCATCTGCCGCGATGACGGCCTCTGGCGCGCGCGCTGTTTTGGTGCGAGCCGTCTGGCGTCGACGTTGCGCCGCAAGAAGTGGCGCCACCCGGCGCACGCCCAGAATGCGCAGTCCAGTAAGGCACGCCGTATCGAGATTCGGGCGGCATGGAACGCCGTCTTCGACAACGGCGAGCCCGTGTCGTGGTACAACGAGCACATCCAGCGGAGCACAAACATTGCAACGGACTGGTTTGAGCTGCCACGGCGTCGCGATGGCCACCGGCTGCTGGACAATGCCGATGTGCTCGAAGTGTGCGGCGTGGCACTGTTCAGACCACAGGACGCGGAAAAGAACGCCAATGGCAGTGAACAGTTGGAAAAGGAGGGCGATGAGGAGGGCGGTGCCAACGATCGACTAGAAGGCATACCGCCACTGCTGGCAGTGGCCCCGCTCGAGGACGGGTCGGTCTGCCTCTGGGACGTCAACGGCACAATGAAACGGCGTGGTGCCATTCTGAGCCAAAGCGTGCCGGGTCTTTTGTTTGCAGGGATTCCGAATCTGGAAAACGACAAGCCCATATTTAATGTGACAGAATGCGTGGCCGTGGACAGCCCGCGCTGCCTGGCATACTTTGCCGTGCGGAATCGTCTGTTGCCCGTCTCCGACTTCCTCCCTTGAAAATGTGAAGACTAAAGACTAACTTGGGCGATAGGTCTTGTCGTGGTCGATTTGAAAGCACTAGTTGTTGTCAGTGTCAAGGTCTTCCCTCAGACCATCACTGCACTGTCATCGGCAGACACGTCTGTGCCGTTGAGCGTGGGGACACGGGCCGGAATCCACCTCTACGACGTTCGCGTCCACACACATGACGCTGCGGGCGAGTTCCGGCATGTAGACGATATCATCGACGAGTCAAATACCGGGCCCTTTCCACAACCCGGCCCCTTGTCCATTGTCCACGTCCCGGAACACGGCTCCGAAGGCACCATCTCGAAGGACATTTTTGCAGCGGGCCGCATCTCCAGCATCCTGCACTATGACCGGCGAAACCTCTCCGTGGTCAAGAGCGCGATCCACTCGGGCGCCAGCCTGTGTGGACTGGCCTCCCTAGCTTATCCCTTTCCCTCCATCAAGGATTATAGCTATCTGAGGAATAACAACAGCCAGGCCGCAGGGTCTGGTTTTGGAACCGGCGGGCGAACAGTCGTGGCCTGTGGCGAGTACAAGTCCAAGGGCTCTCTCGAACTGTATCCGGTCGACGAGGGCCAGTCGCAGTCTGACAAGCATATGGTCAATCGCCAGACGTCCTCCTCTGCTAAGATTTTTTCGGTCGCGAGCCACGGTACACGCCTGGCTGTGTCCGACGGTGCTGGCTTTATTCGGTGGTTCGAGCGAGACGGGTTTACGGAAGTCCGGCGGTATGCGCTTGGGCAAGACGACTACGAGGAAGACGAGGGTGAAGTGGTCGAGAAGAACGAGACAGAAGTACCTCGAATGCCGCCGCGCCGTGCTCACAATACGACGGAATCAGGCGATATTGCTCGCAAACTGCTGCCCGTGTATAGGGTTGGCGGCTTCGGTGGCTGCAAGCGCGACAACAGCTTTAGGAACAATGGGCTGCTGTTCTGGACGGGCGAGAAGCTCGGACTTACCAGCTTTACGCGTGGAAAGGGAACGCGGTCGGCGGACTTTGTCAAAGATACAAAGACTGCGGCCGAGAGGGCGACCGAAGAAGCAGGGAAGGCGTACAGAGCAAAGATGCGGCAGCTGTTCAAGTCTGCCCGCTACTTTGGTGAAGATAGCGACTCCGACAACTAGCTTGCAAGTTGCTGGTGCTAGATGGCATGCACATTACCATCTCGCTCACCATCGACTCGGTTTCAAGGTTATGCCGCCTTCGCATTATAGCATCGTATAATAGTGTCTTGGCCAAAGGAAATTTTGATCCAATGCCCTGGGAAAGGAATCCGAACAACGGGCAGGATCAGGCGACATGCGGTCGGAAACCCTTGTACGCACTCGGCGCCAGGGCAAAGTCCAGGGCGCCCAATCGACGGGCGTTGGGTCTCTTGGGCGTCCGTTTGTGCCCAATCGTCGCGGTGCACGACAGCACTACCAGACGCGGCAAACACCAATGCATTCAGTAGGAAAGTCGAAACAGGTCCCCGAAATAGAAAGACAAGATTCGCGACGAGTACGACGTACTGTATTCCTCTCAATCAGAGCGAGCAGCTCAGCCCCGGCGCATGACAAGCTCACCGCTTGTGCGTGCTGGCGCATGAGGCGCGCGGGTCGTCATTGTAAGTTGTAAGCCAATACCACCAATGGCCTCGTCATCTCTCTTGTTTGCCTCGTCTTCATGTCTCGAAACTCGGGGGGATTTCTACCTATTTCTCTCGTTTCGGAAGACACGCAATCGATTCACCGCTTCATCTGTTAACTTTATTTTCTTCTTCCTTTTTGCTGCCGGCATCATGTCCGTGCCGGCTGAGAGTGCTCCGCAATACGCAGGGGTGGCCTTGACCTGGGCAGCATATGACATCCGCGTGTTGGTAGCAAGAAAAGAAAGCAAATCGAAAGAAAACGATAGATGGATGAAGTGAGTAGATGCAGTGCTACCTCTATTGTTTAACGAAGACTCAAGTAGCTTTTGCGCCATGTTCTGCAGGCCCCTGGCAAGTGCTTCATGTGTATCAAAAACGGAAAGTGCGATGCAACAGAAGATGAACACCACACCGCTTCCCCAGCATGTGGTATTTGCACCTTCCTTCTGTGGGCGAGAAATCAGTCGGAAAGAGCAAACGATTTGTTTACATACGTTCTTGCCCGCTTCACATTGTCAGCTGTTGTCAATAAGGAAAGGACCGGCCTCGAACACGTATAAAAATCCTACGACTTAAATTGGTCTATTACGGGCGCTTTCTCCGGCACCTCCTGCCACTATAAAAGGAAATGCGGAATGAAAAGTATGGCTCTGTGATATTCTCAAAATAGGCAGGGCCAGGCCCCACCCTCTGCCATTCGTCCTCCTGCGTCGGCGACCCCTCCGCTGTGTGATGTGGTCGAGCTTCTGTGGACTCAACAAAACTCACGAAAATCCAAAGCGACTCACTTCCCGTCGCCGACCCGGCCACAGCCCAATACACAAGTCCATTTGACACAAAGAGAGCCCCGGAGCCGACCAGGAACAGCTTGGACCTTGCCACATTGACAGGCAAAGTCCACCAGCGCCTCCATCCGCCAGCTGCATCTCCGATAAACCGGGTCCGCCTGTCTGGATGCAGCGTCAACGTCTCCACCTCTGCTGTTGAGGCTGGCCATCAAACGCAGTGTCCTCAGTCCAGTCTTCCAGCCGACCGCCCTTGCTTGACCGTGAAGTCTATTGGTGGCGGACGGCGTCCACTCATCTGCACCATGGGCTATTCTGGCTAGAGAGGTGTCCAATTTTGGGCTTTTGCTTGGTTCAGACGACAGCGCTCGAAGATCATAGAGCCCGTTGACCATGCCGCCCTGGCTGCCAGGTGCTTACCTGCTGTACACTTTCGAGTGTGTATGATTTATATCGTTCTCACCTCTTACATTTTCAGCTTTTCTCATACGAGGCACGTCGATTACTTCTCTGTCCATCCATGCAACAGGCACAACTACCCCTTCATCACGCGCCTTCACCTTCTGCTCCTCCTACCACAATCCAAGCCTGTCATAGTAAGCCCTCGTTCACTCGAGGCGCGCTGAGCCATGGCCTTTTGGGTTCGCGGCGGGAGAGAGCAGACTTTTGGTCCGAACCATGGAGAGGGGCAGAAGCGGCCATATTACTATGTGGATGACGAGGCAATTGAAACAGTCAATCAGCCATTGCGGGCCTTTGACGACGACGGCGACGACACTGACGGCAGCCGTCATCAATTGCCGGCATCCTACCACCAGCACGTCCCAGAATGCGATATCCCCTACCAGTCGATTGAGCCCCGAGAAGACACACCAGCAGAGACACATGTCTTCTTCATCCTACACGAGGAAGGCCCCAACGAGGCGCGGTCGCTTTCGTCGCAGTCCCCGTTGCCCACTAGGGGTGGTTCATCGCCTGGCCTGGATAGATATTCTCCCCTGCCCCGGCCAACAACTATCTGGAAGAACGGCTCGGACCTGAAAGCGTTTGCCTCTCCTCAGCCATATTACGCCCAAGAATCTGTCCCGGTACCTGTCGCGAAGTTGCCACGGTATGAAGACTGGCGGGATAAAAACCACTTGTATGACACAACATCCGGCCAAATAAATGTCGTGCGGTCTCCCTCGCCGTACGAGGTGGTGGTGCGGCGAGCAGCCAGTCGGAGACAGACACCAGATGATACGGCACCACATATTTATGCACACTCACACTCTGTGAGCGAAGGATGGGCGGCTCGATCAGATGCTCAGAACACCGGATCGCGTGACCACTATCAACTGGAACGACAACAACTCGATCCGCACATGGTCCAGTCTATTAGCTGCTCCAGTCAGGACCGCGGTGCCAGCAAGCCGTCGGAGACACTTCTAACCGATGCCGAAGCAGCCGTCAGTGTCGGCGCCCACCTCGCCAGCTTCAACCGCCGGTTTCCGTCGTCGCGCCACGAGCGCATCTTGCTCGGCCTGATTCATCCCAAGTCGGTGGATGCAGAATTTGATCTTGACAACAGCGCCCTGGAGAGCATCTTCTCATCCGCCAACGAGATTTTCTTCAACGGCCGCCTAACCCAGCGTGTCCAGTGGGACTGGTCCGACGCCAGCTCCAACCCGCAATACGACAACAAGATCATTGGCCACACCTCCCTCCGCCGTGCCCACATTGGCGGTTTCGAGACGTTCGTTCTGCTGTCGACACCAATCTTGAGGAGCCGCGAATACAGCCGCCGTCTGCTCATCTCGGCGTTTCTACACGAGCTGATCCACTGCTACTTGTTTATATGCTGCGGCTGGAGTGCACGCGAGTCTGGCGGCCATACGGACGGCTTCCGGCGCATTGCCGACACCATTGACCAGTGGGCGGGGCGCGAGAATTTGTTTCTCTGCCAGGTAGAAGCGGACCTCGAGCGTTTCCGGCAGCCGCCAGAGTGGAATGCAGCTCCAGACGAGACGTCCGTTGTGGACTATAGCGGCTACTCGCTGGCCTCTCCCATCCTTTACAATGCTCGTCTGTGTAACCCAACCAATTCCAACACGGACTGGGAGCGCTGCTTGCATGACCGGTGGGAACATCGCCAGCACCACCACAGCGCGCCTTCCGACCACACCTATTCATGGACTTAGGCAGAATTTCAGGCCTTCTGTTAGAATCCTTTTCATATAAACTCATGTTTACTAACTTTTCACATTCCCTCACTCTCGCTTCACATGTGGCAGTGACGACATCAAAGCATCTTCACTGGCGTCTCTTGATCCCTGCATTTATTTTTCCTTTCCCAGCACTACCTTTTAGACATATTTGTTACTAGACTTTTTTTGTATCCATGACATATACCCCTCCATATATCAAATTCAATTTTATGAAAACAGTGTCTGTGCGCATATCTTGTTCATTTTCGAAAATGAAAATCGTTTTAGAAAACATTATTCATACAAACGAAGACCTGAGTCATAACATCATTAAATTTGCTCTCTATGTGGTGGCTAAAATCACAAAAAAAAAAAAAAAAAAAAAAAAGATACATGAGTATTATAATGGATCACAGCCATTGCTGTCAACGCTATGCAGGTCGACTGGCTTCGACGAATTATGCTGCCGCATATACTACATGCCGTTAGCGTCTTCCTCGTCGGGCGAGTAGACGGCTTCATTACAGAGCTGCGCCATCTTCTTGAAGAAACGGCGCCACTCCAGTGGATCGCCTTTGACCTTTACAAACCGGACGTCGAGCAGCCGCGCCGCGCCCGACTCGTCGTCTCCAGGACGCAAGCGGCACCGGTCAACCAGGATCTCACCGTGCAAGGTCTGTTTGCGCCCGTCAGCGGCCCGAACCTTCAACCGGGCGATACATTCGTTGTCCTGGTAGCTGCTGCTGGCCTGCATGACCGATGCTGCAGGTGGGCTGGGGACGTTGAGCTGGTGCAAAGCCGCGCACAGCATTTGCACCAAATGCAGCGGTGGCACGTGCGAGAAGAAGCGCGTGAGCGAGTATGACGGCACAATGTCCTCAAATCGTCGTGCGTGCTGTGTCAGAGTCACGGGTACGCCACGCAATTGTGAGAACTGGCTCATGGCAGGCTCCTCCGCCAGCGCCTCGCGCAGACCGTAACCAAAACCAGCTGCGCCGCGCGGACCGCTGGCAGCATGGCCGTCGATCCGGTCGGTCCGTGAGATATCCGCGAGAGACGTGGGTTGCGTGGACGACGTGGCAAAGCGCTGCACCGCCCGAAGACCCGGGCGTTCCCAGTCGTATGCAGTATCAAGGAGCGGCACGTCGGGCTGTGTGGAGGCAAGCGAGCCCACAGAGCCCGTAGAGTCAGAATGTTGGTTGGACCCGTCCAGATCCATAGCGTCGCCGCCACCACGTCGCCTTGCCGTGGCCGGATTTTTCAAGTCGATTCTTAAATTGTCGAGCATTTGGGTGGCGAGCTCGAGAGGGTCGGACACACGGTCGTCAGCCGTGAGTAGGCGGTTGGCCCGCGTGAACCACGGATGCTGGCGAATCTGAGCAAAACTGAAGCGCTGCTTTGTGTCGATGCTCATCATCCCGCGCAGCAGGGACAGGGTGGCCGGCGGCACTCGCCCCCACAGCGGATCGGTGCTGTGTCCGTTCTTGGTGGCGTATTCGTAAAACTCCCAACTCGTGAGCACGGGCTCATCCCACGGTGTGTTGCCGACAAGGAGCACAAAGAGGATGACGCCGCAAGACCAGATGTCTACTAAATCCGGACTGTAGCTGTTCTTCTTCGGAGTGGGTGCAGGCGCCGTACTTGACGGTGGCCGGTTGCACGCAAGCACTTCTGGAGCAATGTAGGGAGGACTCCCGCAGACCGTCGAGCTCAGCTTGCGGCTGCCCTTGTACTCGTACATTGTGGCCATGCCAAAGTCGGCCAGCTTCAGGTTGCCCGAGGACGAGAGCAGGATGTTTTCGGGCTTCAGGTCCCGATGGGCCACGCCCTTGGAGTGCAGGAAGCTCGTGCCACTGACAAGCTGCTTGAAATAGACATGGGCAATGTCCTCCGGCACGCCCACGTCCGCCTCGATCTTGTCAAAGAGATCGCCACCCTCGGCAAACTCCATGGCGATCCACCGCCACACTTCATCCTCGCCCGTCGCAAACCACTCTATCACATTGGGATGCTGGCCGATATGTGAGTGAAGCGAGCATTCGGTGGCGATCTGTTTTGGCGATATGCGACCATGCTTAACGGCATACTGTTTGTGGATGAGCTTGACGGCAAAGACGGGGTGGTCGACATCGAGCGGGGCGGCTTTCTTTATGCTAGGAGACGTCAGCGCCATATACCAGAGCATCGTGTGGTCCTGTCGGACGGGAAAGTGTCGAAGCAAACTCACGAAGCAAACGCGCCCCTGCCGATGGTGTTCGAGACGAACCGGAAGGGCAGGTTGTCAGGAAGAGGAGCAAGCTGGGACTGTTGCATGATTAGCTTTGCGGTGCCAGGGAATACGCCGCAGGCCGTGAAGCTTCTGCTCCTATTCTTCCGTCTATGTTGCCGTCTTTGCTCTCAATCGTTTTCCCGTGATATTTTTTGTGGGCTTTAACTGGCTCTGGATGGAAGTAAATAAAGAACGAATGAACGCCGATACTTACCATGTTGGAACTGCAGCACGCCCTTCACCAGTTCTGTGTATCTTGGTTTGTCCACAATCCACTGGTGGTTGCTCGCGTGAGGCTCTTTCGAGACGCGACTTTCGACGTGGCGGTCGCGTCTTGGGGTCGCGTCTGGCCGCTTAAGTAGTGGCGATGATTTTAACGACCAAGCGCTGACCTTGTCTGAAGAAGAGCGCTGTGAGTGGGGTTCCATAGGCGGAGAAGCGCTACCTCGTTGTTTCCCCTCTGAAATAGTTGCATTCCAGCGCTGGGTCGTCATTATCGCTACCTAAAAGCGGGTCCTTTTCGCTGGTTGCTGGGTGCAGGGAGGGGCCCACTCTTGGGGTCAACTTCTGGCTGCTGGGTGCGGTCCTGCCATCAAAGGTACCAGAATGTAAACAACGACGAACAGCAAGAACCTCCGTGGACGCCGGCCAAAGTGTAAGAATAGACCCTCTTGGGAAGCCGCTTCCGTCCTTCATTCCTCACCAACGTGGCAGGCACGACCCTTTACCTCTCACACTCTCCCTGACAACCAGCGTAGGTATTTTTTCTCACCCTAGCCAGTAACACGCGCCATTGGCGGCCGAACAGCACCTTCCCTCCTGGCCAAACCATTCCTGGGACTCCGACAGTTTGTCTCAGAGTCTAACTTGGAAGTTGCTGCCCATTGGATCGCCCTTGCTTTTTCCTATCTCCTCATTTCCTTTTCCTACCTCTTGCCTGCTTTGGACGCATATTGCCGAGCTGGTTAACGTTGAAACAAAAGAAGCTTATTCTTTCTTCATACCTTCGCTTTTCTCTCTTCTTTTTCTCTTCATCTTTCTATTGTCTCGTCTCGTCTACCTCTTCCACCTCGCATCTCCCCCGTTGTCCACCTCGCTGCCACGACTTTTATAACGACGACGTCCCATCGCAAACCCTCTCACACGACCGTTTCCCGCCGAAAGCCCTCGGTTGCTTCTGTGACTCTTGTCGACAACATCTTCTTGTTTTGTTCTCACTGTCTTCATAACACCCATACATCATGGCCGACGCACAGAGTGCATCAGACATGCAGGCTACTGCCCTTGGCGGTGTAAAGAAGGGTCCCGATTCACAGAGCGTGACGAAGAGGTAAGGGCTGCCTTTCTTGCTTCTATTTTTTTCTGTATACCTCCTCTATTCGACTGCTAACCTGAACTTCTCAGATTGCAAACCGAACTGATGATGCTCATGACTTCGCCAGCTCCTGGTGTTTCCGCGTTTCCATCGGCCGACGGCAACCTTATGTCGTGGCGGGCGACCATTGAGGGCCCCGACGATACCCCGTACGCGGGCCTCACGTTCAAACTTTCCTTTGCCTTCCCTGCCAACTATCCCTACGCACCGCCGACAGTGCTTTTCAAGACGCCCATATACCACCCCAATGTTGATTTCTCCGGACGAATTTGCCTCGACATCCTGAAGGACAAGTGGACGCCTGCCTACAACACCCAGACTGTACTGCTAAGTCTGCAGAGCCTGCTCGGCGAGCCGAACAAGTACGTACCCTTTTTCACCGTGCACATCATCCTCGTGGATATGCAGACATCCTTAAGACATCTTGTACTAACTGTGTTGCAGCGCCTCTCCCCTCAATGGCGAAGCTGCCGAGCTGTGGGACACCGATGCCGAGGAGTTCAAGCGCAAGGTGTTGGGCCGTCACCGTGATGTCGACGACGAGTAGACGGACAGGACTCTGGCCCCAACGAGCATTGGGCTTGCAGAGCATGGAATTGAAGTCGAAGAGAAAGGACGAATGACGGTGTGAGGGGGACGATTAGGCGTGCAAAGGGGCTATGGGCTGTGGCCATGCGAGCAGCTATAAATGGCGACGGGCGACATGTCAAAGGACAACACGAAGATGCCGTTGGATATGGACGAGAGCCAGAGGCTGGCTGGTTGTGTATTATTTCCCCGTTTCATTTATTCCCTTTATTTTCTAGCACAGCGACCGGGTACATCGGGGGTCCTGGTAACAAGGACCGAGCAAGCATCAATTTTACTCCATTTCATCACACTTCGAGAATTGGTATTGTGTAGTATGCAAAGAACACTTTTCTGCACCCATCAGGATGGATGCGCTTGTCGTAGACGTGTGGGATTCAAAAAGTTGAAATGAGATGGACTCCCTCAACACCAGGCAACGACATGAACTTGGAGATAATAGTTTTCCACTTTTTTGGTTTTGCTTGTTTTTGTTCGATCGCCTCTGGCTGATGTGGCTGTTTGTTGTCGATTTTTTGATTTCCTTTTGTGTTTTGGTTGGTAAAAATCGAGTCGCCCAAAAATCAAACAGTACCCATGTCCGAGGTTTCCCTACCCATGCAAATCCTTTTACATAGACAAACTCCAACAATCCAGCAACAACGTCGCCAGAACCTCCTTGTCGGTATTTTTCGCTTTTATATGTTATCCATCACGAGAACCGCCATTTTACTCCTCAACCACAACGGTGTGCAGGCCCTTGGGGTTCTTGACGTTGACGGCCTGGACGAAGCTGTACAGCTTCTCCTTGGCGTCCTCCTCGTCGTTTCTTCTCCGTGAGATGCGGACGCGGAGTCTGTAGGCAACGCCCTTGACACCGGCCTCCCACACCTTCTTGTTCAGCTGGGGGTCCAGGCGGACATCCGAGGTGCCCTAAAACATGTCATGTCAGCATTTCAGCTTCCAACGGTCCGAGACGGCGATTTGAGTCGAGCTATGTGTCGTCGAGAGAGTCGGCGTAGGGGAAAGGAGGTTCCGTACCATTGCCTGCTGAGCGAACTTCTTGATCTCCTTGACGGCGCGGGGAGCCCGCTTCTTGAAGCTGACACCGTGCAGCTAGAATTGCCATCGACGTTAGCACATGTCCTTCACACGTTGGTATATATAGAGCGACACAGACGCGGCCCAGCATCCAGTCTCCAGGACATTCAATCTCCAGGTTGCCCTCACAGCATCGACCGCTCGTACCATCGTACGCGAGAATGCCTAGCCGACCAGCTCGTGCCTCGTCATCTCGCCTGGTCCGATGCTTCAACCTCCATCCGTCCTTGATCCGCCTCTTTCCTGAATTTCTGCGTCTGGCCGTGTCCGGTGCGTTTGGGCGCCTCAAAAACGTACTCTCTTGTGCATGTGGATGGTGTACTCGCGGGAAACGACGTCGGCAATGGCCGAGCGGCCGGTCTTGCCGGAGGCCTTGGTCTTCGACGACATTTTGGGATGGTTGCTGTAGGCGAAAAGAAGAGATGTTAGAGACTGAGCGCTTGACGTAGAAAGGAGGCGACAACGATTGTACTTCGTGGAATGGAGTGCGTCAAGGGAAAGATTCGTCGTCGGCGTGCATACCTCGAAAAAAAAGGTTTCGTTGGTCGTCGGTAAGGAGTGGTGATGGCAAGTCGAGAATGGGAGGGAGGGGGGAGCAAAGAAAAAAGACAGCCAACGGAGAAAAAGCGAGAGGGCTAAAAGTAGGGCCTGGTAGAAGGAAAAAAATTGTTGTGTGCACTTCAAAATTGGCATAAAAAAGGGTACTGTGACCAATCAGAGGTAGAAGCGAACTACACTAGTCCATGCATTCTCTAGCGTGTCTTGACGCGGATAAGTCATCACATCACGTGAAAATCATCGTGATCATTTCCACGTGATACAAAAACTCCGCTAGAAATATCTCTTGTCCCCATTTTAATCTTTTTTCGTGTTTATTTTAGCATTTAATTTTTATGCGCGCCCCTGGCATGAAGCATGGGAAGATACGAAACTGGCCTGGTAACACGCCCCTAAATTAAAGTACCGCGACACGCTAAACAGTATGCGGTAGTGACCTGAAGCCCTGGGCGCGAGCCGATCACAAAAGACGCCAGGAATGCAGTGGTCTGTCCGTTGCTCCTTCCCACTTTGGTGGCCCTTGCTGCGTCGTGTTTCCAAGTGAGAATCCCCCTTCCAAGCACATTCGTTCCTCACCCTCGTTTTTGAACCTCACAACGTCCTCCCTCACAACCTGCAGGATTTGAAGCAGTGTTCTGAGCCAGGATTTTCGCAGTCGCCTGTTTCTGATCTTCTTTCGAAGCCACTGTTCCTCGCCTTCTCCACGGTCTCTGCCACCCACGATCGCCCTTCGCGTCCGGACCAGCTGTTCTCCGCGCCTCCTCGCAGCCCACAGATTGCGTATTTCTGGATCTCGTCGTCTCGTGTTGTCTTTGGCTTTCGAGCAGCACCAGACACTGTGCACGGCCGGTTGCGTACGGACTGTACTTCGCACGACGGACGTATCTGGCTGTCACTGGTCATGAGCTTTAACTGCCCTTTGCCCTGTCTTCGTGTCGCCCACTTTTTTGTCGTCTGTTTCCCGTCACTTGTCAACACTTAATTCTCGTCACGAACCTCGGCGACAATCTAATTGAGAACACAACAATCGACGACTCTTTCGGTGACTGGATTTGGTCTACTAGTCACTTTTCTTTCAATTTACGACCGAGAAAACGACAGTAAAGGCTGCAGACGGACGAAGCGACTTTGAGACGATCAGCCTTTACCCGTCAACCCGACGAGACTCGCACTCTTTCAGCCTCATCCGGCGACACAAACGGATCGAAAACGTCACTTGTCAACTCTTAAAAATCGACGCATTAGCCACTACCATGGCCGACTTTCCTGGAGGCCACACGCCGTCGCCGCAGCCGGATCTCAACCGGAACCGGCTTCCCTCGCTGTTCGAGGTGCTGAGCCGACGGACGCTGCCCCCAGTCGACCTCTACTCGTTTTACATCTACATGCGTGACCAACAGCGCTCAGTCGATTATCTTGACTTTTGGTATGTCCCCGTGGCCCATCCCTGTGGGTATCTGGTGTCCCGTGGGCCTGTATAGCTAACGCAGGTTTTGCCAGGCTGGATGTTGCTCAGCACATGACGCTTTGCCGTCACTACGTCCGTGAACTGCGCCGGTCCGTCCTGGTCGTCACACCCGATGGCGAGAAGTCGGCATCCAAGCGCTCGTCCGCCATCCTGGAAAACCTGGGCGACATGACGCACCCTGTGGCAGGTCCGTCCAAATATCAGTCGGACAAGGAGAGGGACCAGGATGCACAGATGTCGGCGTTCCTGCGCGAAGATTTGCATCCTCAGGACTCGCCGGTCAGCGGGCCCGGCCAAAGCCCGAATCCGGCGAGCACACCGCGCGACATTACAGACTCCAACTCGCCGGCACATGCCGTGGCACGCCAGGATATCCGCGCATCGGCCGAGAAGATTCTGTACACGTTCTTGTTGCCGGGCGCCGAGCGCGAGATTATCCTGCCGGGTAACATCACGACGGACATCACGACCGCCATCGAGGAGTACGGCCGCGACGACCCCGAGGTCTTTGACGTTGCTAAGGACTACGTCTTCCAGGCCATGGAACGTGATGCCTTTCCAGGGTTCTTGCGGATGAAGGCCCTTGGCAACCTGATCCCGCCGACGCTCATTCTGCGCCTGATTATTGGCATGATCTCCATGTTCGGTGCTTTCTGGACGGCTTTTGTGCTCATTTTCCTCGACGAGTCTCGGAGGACACGCCTGTTCCTCATCCTGCCTTTCACCTTTGGCGTCTACTTTTTGGCCTCATTCCAGTACTCACTGGACCCAGTGCTGGCGTTGCTTGGGTTCAGCGAGTACACACCCTTCCACTTCTCGCGTGTGCGTGAACCGTTTGTGCGGCGCCTGCTGGCCAAGCGGGCGCTTGTAGTCCTCGCTGTGACAGTGCTGGTCGATGCAGCGCTGCTGGTGTTGTTCATCTTGGTGCCTGGCCGGCGTCTGTGAGACAATGCACCACGACAAGAATGGCGTGTCTTGTCTACGGGACGGGAAGGGTGGAAATCTTGAACTTTGAGTTTTCGAATGCTCGACTCTCGGCGTTTTATTTTGGAATTTTGTTACGAATATCACGAAGGCGTTCCGCGGAGCAACTGACGAATTTAATCCCCTTCTGATTTTTATTTTCCGCGACTTTCTGTTTTTATATTGCTTTTCAATGTGTTTGCGTCTAGGATACCAGTTGTTATTTTCACCTGCCATTTCACGGCGAACATCCCCGATGCTGGGCTGTTTTGTGTGGGAGGTGTCAGAAGGCAACACTAGCGAGCAGGTTTAATGGTTAAGGGCCATGCAGGAAGGGAGCATATGTCCCGTACCATACATTTATGTAGCTTTTATGTAGTTTTATCCGATGGATATGAATGACTCTTGTTCATTCATTACTTCTTTTTCCGTGTCAAGGAATTACATGGGCCCGATTGATATGTCATACATTTCCTACCATTTCATACTAGTAAACGTATTCGTAACTACCAGAGGCTCCTCTGGCCTATAGTACAATCAATGCTCGTCGTTATCTGAATGCGTTGGGACATGATGCCCTCTTCCCTACCTTCCATTGAGTCGCTTTGCTAGTGCTTCCCGGAAACCTCGAAGCATTCCCTAAGCATTCCGGTTCCGCTTGTTTCCGTCGCCCTCGTCGTCGTCCAAATCCATAGCCCCATCGTTGTCTTCGGCAACAAGAGCCGAGCCAGGACCCGGCACAGCGTGCGAGCTTGGCGGAACAATGGAGGTAGCCATCAGGTTGCTGCCCCGCTTGTTGAACCGCGGGTTGCCAATCCCCTTTCCGCCACTCGAGACATTGAGCGTCATCGGCCGCTTGCCGTGGCCGCCGCCATTGCCGCCGCCATCATCTGCATCCCCAGAACCGCCATCTTTGTTGAGCATTGCCCGCTTCTCGGTTTCGACGGCCCGCTTAAACTGGCTGTCCGACTTTTGGCCTTCCTCTGCACGCGCCGCCGCTGTCCGCCGGATGCCGGCAATCTGCTCGTCGAGTGCGGCCAGCGTCGACTCGCAGCGCTGTGACCAACTGCTCAGGGCGGCGTGCAGTCTCGGGATGGCATCGGGGGCAGGGTCACGCATGGGTGCGACGGCGCTGATGCGCACAACCTGGTGGGCCGGGTCGAGCGTGCCGGTGACGAGGCCGGCGTAGACGGCGGCCATGACGAGCGTCTCAAGCTGGCGGGCATCGTCGAGGCGCAGTTCGCGGACGAGGTGGTCGTATCCCAGACTGGAGCGGTCGGTGGCAAGGGAAATGAGAGACAGTTCGCGGAGTTTTGTGGCCTGGGCGTCGGTGAGTGGTGGGAGCGGTGGTGCTACTGCTGCTGATGCGGCTTGTGATTGTGATATTGACTGAGGATGTGAAGGTTGTGACGACGACGCGGAGGGCGCGGTTCCCCGCTCGTAGTCGGCATAGGTGCCGTAGCTGAAGATCTGGAGGACAGCCAAGTAGGCGGCATACTCGGGATCGGCGGTCGCGAGGGCCTGGATCTGAGGAGTCTGCAGCAGCTCGGCAAAGAAGTAGGTGCTGGGGTGAGAGGTGGCTCGGACGACCAGGTCGGCGGCCTGGCGGGGGGAGCTGGCAGACTTGGAAAGGGCGACAAATGGCTGGAGAGAGGCAGTTAGAGAATGCTCTTCAAGAAGCCGAACATGGAATGGGGCAACCTAGGGTGAAGAGGCCAACAAATCGCGGAGGGGGGGATAGCTTACCTCCAAGGCGTCCATCGCCTTGAGCTGCGCCATGGTGCTGGTCTAGCGGCTACGAATAATCTCGTGTGCTATCTGTGTGCACGATGATCTAAATGATAAACCGTAGCGTGCTGTGACTTGGATTTGCAGCTTTCTTCGGTGGGGCAATCCGTGGTCGCGATGTCTAGCTTGAGAGCTTCGTGATATTGTGCCTAGCCTTTGGATGTCTGCGGGGTGGTGAGGCTGAAGGAACTGTGGCTCATGATGACTAAGCATAACGTGGACGGGCCCACAACTACAAGGCCGAGTTGCTATGGGGGCAACAGTTCATGAAGCCGTTTCGTTCCTTAGTTTTTTTTTTTCTTTTTTATTATCGTGTAACTCTGGGCCCTTCAGGTTGAGACTCCTGCTACCATATGCCTGTTTTCCGTTGATTTATTCTGTACCTGGAGATCTCTCAGTTTGACGATCTGTGTCAGGTTGGTTTGAGCGCCCTGAACGGATTCAGGGGCGCCCCTAGAAATGGCACGATGGTCCCTATAGCGAGTTTGAGAGCGCTACGCAACGAGCGTCCCAGCGTCCCTCATAGAGACAGAAAAAATGGGGCCGCAAATATTGTGTCAAGGAAGAAGCCCATGACCTGCTGATATTTCGCTGCGACTTTGCTCCGACGGTCTCCATTTCCCCTTTCAAGATGGATTCCATTACGGCGAGAACATGACTAATTCTCAATGCCTCTGGACAATACCGGTTCCAGTGTTGTCTCTTATGGCTCTTTCGTGTCTCATCCATCCACTTGGATGTTGGAGGTGGAGGCAGGGTGGTCTGCCCTCGAAGACTATTGAAATGGCGCATATGAACGATATGTACGACATACACAGGTGCGAGTGTCTCAAGCCACTACAGCCATGCATTCGCCAACATTCGTAGCCCATCCATGTCTCGAAATTAGCCCTGCGTGTCCGTCACGTTGTGCATCGTGTTGCTTTCTATCCCGCTGCTCTTTCCCTTTTCGTCCCGAGTCCCATGGTTCGCAATGTACGGGGTACAGGTGGCTTTTTTGGCCTCTTCCAATTTGTGGTCGGGCCAGTCGAAGACCAAGCATTCCGTGCGTCGAGCGGCAGGGAGGCAGACGGGCGGGGACGAAGACAAAAAGAGGCAAGTTGGGGCGAAGTACAAGTCACTGCACGGCTAGCGAACCTCAGCTGTGATGCTCTGCTTGTGTTTATCTCTCATGCTGAGATCGTCAACATGGCTTCACGTGGCTTCTCTTGCCTTGGCTTGCTTCTTTCAATCGTCCCAGCGTCCTTGGATCTTCGTATGGGGTGGAGTTGAGACTCTGCGGTGATCTCTGGCGGTTTGTCGGCTCGTTTCCATGTTCTCGTACTTTTATTTTATTTTATTTTATTTTTGCTAAGTGCGTGTCCACTGTCTACGCGCCGTTCTTTCCCCACGCGAAAAGATGTCAAGCTTTCCCCTTCTCTGTTCCTGCCCTGTCTGTTGCTCCTTCCTTAGGATACCACTGATCGTAGGGATATATTACCATCGTTATCGCCTTCTACTGATTATCTTTGCTATCCGCTGGAGTCTTTTGCCATAACATCGCCAGTCACGGGCAGTACGGAAAACAAGGGCAGAACAAACTCCGAACAGTAAAGGAATCCCACAGCGAGAGAACAATACGCTGGAACAAAAGTTGGAGCCTGGGAATTAGTGCTCCGTATATTCCGGAGTTTTGGTAGGGAAATGGGAAGGCAAGAGGCCAAGGTTCGGCAAGTGCGGAAGCGACGACCGACGCAAAAGTTGAGTGGCGCTTTCCAGATGCCGACGAGAAGAAAGACGTGCAAATGGCAAGTGCTGTATGCTATAAATTAATTTGCAATCAATATTGCCGTCCAGAATTTCCCGAGAGGAGTCAAAGAAATCACAAACCAAAACAGGCCGACATTAATAACGAACGCCTTCGTTGACTTCGGCAGCCAGATCGCCAACCATTCCAGCAAAGTAACACGACTTAAGCAGCGTACGGACGCCTAGTGGATTAGAAAGCAGTATCTACCGCCAGCCTGCTGCAAATTTCCCAAAAAGATCATCGTCTTGTCATATCTTGACTTTATTTTCCTCCCTTTTGCCCGCTTATGATTCTCGTCGCTTTCAGCCGGTTTTCAGCATCGTTTGGCCTCGATTACGCCTCTCAGAGGCTCACAGTATCCCCAGTACTCGATCTGCTGGCATCTCGTACCCGCCTCTGACCCCTGCTCCAAGTCCGCACAGGCCACGCATCGCAAAGAAAAAACTAAGAGACACAACTTAACCCCCAGCAAACTCCAGCCAAAACTCTCTCCCGCAGGGTTTCACAGGCGCTTCCCAGCGAACCGGAAATCAGGAGTCGTCACTGTCGTCGTGGCCACAGTCGTCGGTATCGCTGCACGCATCGACATTTGATCTCGTAAGTCAGGATTTCCAGTCGCTAGCAGCGCCACATTTCTTGTATCGTCTTCTTTCTTCTGCGCCTCCTTCGGCTCTCACGCTCTCAGTCCCCAACCGTTTGTCCTTCCCGAAATCTCACTACCACGGTCTGCTGTCTTGCCGTCTGTAGCCTGCAGTCTGCGCCGAACAATAAGCTGACGCAGCGGTTGGCTGAAGAGTGTCCAAGAAAAGAACAGAACCAGCATCGAACACGATTTGAAAGCATCCTGGAGTCCCCAGCGCTCCCGAACACCACGCAAAACACGCCCCTCCCAGCACCCCTACCTTTCCTCTCAACGAAACGCTACGGCACGGGCTGCCACTTGACGACACATCAAAGCAACCCCAGCCAGACCTGGCCCGTCCCAGACAGCCTAAGACGACCCACGTCGAACCAACCCTCGAAACACAAGAGGACCACAGGAAACGCAGCGCCAGCCTGAGCATTGTGTCTCCGGAAGTCCACTTGTGAAACACAGTTTTCGTTGTTTTTCCGACGCCCACAGACAACAGGACCTACACCGTAATACGGCGTACAGAGAACCAATTATCGGTAATCAATAATACCACACATTCCACCCGCACGCCGCCCTGCGGCACACTCTGCGACCTCACCCCCTCGCGTGCAGGAGCTGGACTTCCCGCAGCAATAAGAATAAGCTTCGTCGCCCGTCGTGCCGCTGCGCCCCTAGGCTTTCTCTTGTTCTGCTTCTTCTCGTCTTCCTGCTGCCCTCCTAATGCTGCTTTCGTCTCTTCTTCTCCGTCGATCTCCAAACGCCCCGATGTCTCTGGAACTGCCGGCCCGCTCCTAGTAGACGACGAAGACAACATCGTTCCCTTCACCGGTGCCACCATCGCCGGCGCCCTTGTTTTCTCCGCGCTACTTGTTTGTCGACGACATCACTTTCACACACAGTCACAATGGCGCCAACGTACATAAAGGTCCCGCCGAGGGATCCGGACGCCGGGCAAGCAGCGCTGGGCGTCCCAACACCACACATGGCTACAACCACCCTCAAAGTCGGTGGCATGACGTGAGTTACAGCTCCAGCCGACGGCTTTCTCCGCCGTTCCAGCTCTCCCTTACGCGCCTACGGCGCGGTACCTTTTATGGTCCGGGACAGGACGAGACGCTAACTAGGACTTTTTTTCCCATGCAGATGCGGCGCATGCACTTCTGCCGTTGAAGCGGGCTTCAAGGGCGTGGATGGCGTCGGTAATGTGTCTGTGAGTCTCGTCATGGAACGCGCCGTCGTTATGCACGACCCGGCGCGCATCACTGCAGAGAAAGTCCGCGAAATTATCGAAGACCGTGGTTTCGACGCCGAGATCCTTGCAACCGACCTTCCTTCTCCTCGCATCCGCGACTCCGACGACGACGACGACCTATTTGATGTGGAGGACGAGACTGCCGGTGCCAACACCCAGCAGACCACCGTGGCTGTCGAGGGCATGACATGTGGCGCCTGCACATCGGCCATTGAAGGTGGGTTCAAGGACGTCGAGGGCGTCAAGAACTTCAGCATCTCTCTCATGTCCGAGCGCGCCGTGATCGAGCACGATCCCACTGTCCTCACTGCCGACAAGATTATCGAGCTGATCGAGGACCGCGGCTTCGGCGCATCCTTGGTCGAAACCAAGGAGCTGAAACCCGAGCGGCAACGAGGCGGAAACAGCCGGTCCGGCCGTGGCCGCCAAGGCCCAGAGCACATGACCACGACGGTAGCGATCGAGGGCATGACCTGTGGCGCATGCACCTCGGCTGTTGAGGGCCTCTTCAAAAACGCCGACGGTGTCCTTCGCTTCAACATCAGCCTGCTGGCTGAGCGCGCCGTCCTCACACACGACCCGTCCAAGCTTTCCTCAGAAAAGATTGTGGAGAAGATTGAAGACGGTGGCTTTGGCGCCTCCATTATCTCCTCTGTAGCCGAGAGCTCAGACAACAGCCATGGCTACACTAGCTCGTCACTGAAGGTGTATGGTGACCCCAGCGCCGCCGAGGCTCAGGCTCTCGAGGAGAAACTGTCTGGGCTGCCCGGTGTGCAGTCGGTGCGTCTCAATGTCGCCACGTCCCAGCTCACTGTGTCCCACCAGTCAGCTGTCACCGGCCTTCGTGCAATCGTGGAGGCTGTGGAAGAGGCTGGCTACAATGCGCTTGTCGCAGACAATGACGACAACAACGCGCAGCTCGAGTCGCTCGCCAAGACCCGTGAGATCAACGAGTGGCGCCGCGCACTCAAGGTGTCCCTCACCTTTGCCATTCCCGTTTTGATTATTGGCATGATCCTCCCCATGTGTGCGCCCGCCATCGACTTTGGCGCCTTCCAGATTCTGCCCGGCCTCTTCCTCGGTGACATTGTCTGCCTGGCCTTGACCATCCCGGTGCAGTTTGGCATCGGCAAGCGCTTCTACACGTCGGCCTGGAAATCTGTGAAGCACCGCTCGCCCACCATGGACGTCCTCGTCGTGCTCGGCACCACCTGTGCCTTCGCCTTCAGTATCGTGGCTATGCTTGTTTCTTTCTTGATCGAGCCCCACAGTCGACCGAGCACCATCTTCGACACGAGCACGATGCTTATCACCTTTATCAGCTTGGGCCGTTTCCTCGAGAACCGCGCCAAGGGCCAGACCTCGAGAGCCCTATCGCGCCTCATGTCCTTGGCCCCGTCTATGGCTACTATTTACGCCGATCCCATAGCCGCCGAGAAGGCCGCGGAGAGTTGGGACACGGTCGCCGGTTCGGGCGAGCCTAAGACGCCGCTCGTGGATGGCAACGCTGCCGAAGAGAAGGTTATCCCCACCGAGCTGATCCAGGTTGGCGACGTCGTCATCCTCCGCCCTGGCGACAAGATCCCTGCGGATGGTGTGATGGTCCGCGGCGAGACGTACATTGATGAGAGCATGATTACCGGCGAGGCGATGCCGGTGCAAAAGCGCAAGGGCAGTTTCCTGATTGGTGGCACTGTCAACGGCCACGGGCGGGTCGACTTCCGCGTCACGCGCGCCGGCCGCGACACTCAGCTCAGCCAAATTGTTAAGCTCGTGCAGGATGCGCAGACCACGCGCGCCCCCATTCAGCGCGTGGCCGACACGCTCGCCGGCTACTTCGTGCCTACTATTCTCGTTCTTGGTTTCTTGACCTTTGTTGTCTGGATGATCCTGAGCCACGTCCTGCCCAACCCGCCCAACATCTTCTTGAAGGAGGAGAGCGGCGGCAAGATTTTTGTGTGTGTCAAACTTTGCATCTCGGTCATCGTTTTTGCCTGCCCGTGCGCGCTGGGTCTCGCGACACCGACAGCGGTCATGGTCGGCACCGGCATTGGCGCGGAGAACGGCATTCTCGTCAAGGGCGGTGCAGCGCTCGAGACGTCCACCAAGATCACACAGGTCGTCCTTGACAAGACAGGCACCATTACCTACGGCAAGATGAGCGTCGCGAGCGTCACGCTGGCGTCCACGTGGAAGGACAATGAGTGGCGCCGGCGCCTCTGGTGGACAATTGTTGGTCTCTCGGAGATGGGCAGCGAGCACCCGATCGGCCGTGCGGTTCTGGGCGCCGCGCGCACGGAACTGGGCCTGGACTCTGAGGGGGCCATTGACGGCAGCGTCGGCGACTTTAAGGCGTTGGTCGGTCGCGGTATCAGCGCCACGATCGAGCCGGCCACGTCCGCCGAGCGCACACGCTACCGCATTCTTGTCGGCAATGTTAAGTTCTTGCAGGAGAACGACGTCACGGTGCCCCAGTCGGCCATCAATGCCTCGGAAGAGTTCAACACACAGGCTGCGTCGGCGACCAAGTCGTCGTCCAAGTCTGCATCTGCCGGCACCACCAACATCTTCATCGCCATCGACGGCCAGTTCGCTGGCCACCTGTGCCTGGCGGACACGATCAAGGACGGCGCCGCGGCGGCCTTCTCGGTGCTGCACCGCATGGGCGTCAAGACGGCCATGGTGACGGGCGACCAGCGGTCGACGGCCGTGGCGGTGGCCAAGGCGGTGGGCATCTCGGCCGACAATGTGTACGCCGGCGTGTCGCCCGACCAGAAGCAGGCCATTATTACACAGTTGCAGGCGGCCGGCGAGGTCGTGGCCATGGTCGGCGACGGCATCAACGACTCGCCCGCGCTTGCCACGGCCGATGTGGGCATTGCCATGTCCTCTGGCACGGACGTCGCCATGGAAGCCGCCGATGTCGTGCTGATGCGCCCCAACAACCTCATGGACATCCCTACGTCGCTCCACCTGGCCCGTTACATCTTTGGGCGCATCAAGCTCAACCTGGCCTGGGCCTGTCTCTACAACGTGGTGGGTCTGCCGTTTGCCATGGGCATCTTCCTGCCGCTCGGCCTGCACCTGCACCCGCTCGCGGCCGGCGCAGCCATGGCGCTGTCGAGCGTCAGCGTCGTCGTCAGCAGTCTACTGCTCAAGTTCTGGAAGCGACCTGCCTACATGGACGAGTCACTCTACGACGAGCGCGGTGTGCTCAAGCGCAGCATGGGCTGGCGCTGGCGCCTCGAGGGCATCACATCGCGCGCGCGCGACGGTCTCGAGGATGGCTACCACTTGGTCACTGGCAAGCGGTGGTCGAACGGCGAGTCCGAGGGTTACGTCCCGCTGGCAAACCTGGACCATGCGGAGGTGTAATGGCGTCGCCCTCAGCCTTGTTTGTTCTTCTCTGTTTTTTTGTCTTGTTTCTTATTTCGTTTGTAACTTTTGGCATAGTCCCTGGCGTCCTGTTTTACCGTTTCGTACATAGCTAGCAGGAGACAGCGTGTTTGCACAAGCAAGTCCGATACCAATTTACGCATATAGTTGCCATTGAGTCAAAGTAAACACTGCACAAACACGGACGATTTCGTACTCGCTTCGCCGTATTTAAAGTTCATATTTTTACATTATAATTCTGCCGGCAAAACGACCAGCAGTTTTGGCGGGGAAGCATCGCTCAAGCAAAGGATGACGTCGCCTAGTTCCAGCACGTGGGGACAGCTGTACAGTGGCGACTGGCTGCTATTGGACGGATCGACCGCCTCTTGTCCTTTCCGGAGCGAGACATTTTTACTGGGTCGAACCTTCTGTTTTCTCTTGCTTTTTTCTGCATACAGTGCATCGCACCTGCCAGCACTTTTTCCAACGCTAGCGACAACGTCTTAGCAGCACCAAGGAAGGAGCAGTCGAGGCTATTACTCTCGTAATGCAACTGCACATCACCAGACTTCCCCGGCCTTTTCCCTTCTGTCATTCTTTTGCCTTTCAGTTTTTTTCCACACACAGCAACCAACTCCCGCGATTCGTCAACCCACGTGGGGAAGCATTGGTCGCAGTATTGATATCAAATTGTGTATGCAGCTTCCTTTGTCAGGTCGCCTCAGTCTTTGCCATCTCATCGCCAGCGTTGTCTATCGTCGCTGCCATCTCAGCTTCCGCTTCCACCTCGACACTCGAATCCTTCAGATTCAACAAGGCTCATTCCACCCTGGCCGGATAGACTGCCGACACCATGTCGTCCAAACGTGGGCCATCGGTCCTAGTATGTCCATTTTCCATCGATCAAAGCTGCCACTCAATTGGCCATTTTCTGACCACATCGGTGTCTTAGGTTACCGACGCCCGCGAACGGCCACCAAATCGAGGCGCTCCCAACAACCGACGCACCAACACATCGTCCTCCCCTTCCTCCTCGTCTTCTTCACAAAGTTCCGCCTCTGGGTCAATTTCTGGTGGTGCGTCCGGCGCGTCCTCGTCCTCGCCTAGCCAGCGAAGCCGATTAGCTATGCGCCACATCTCGGTCGACAATGTCCTGCAGCACAATTCGGAAATCCCTTCCGGCCAGCCACGGGGCCCACCTGGAGCCCTGCGCATGCTCCCGTCGTCCGCTCTCTCGGCCGCCGCCTCAGTCGCGCGGCGGCGTGGACTCACAAGACGCAGCAGCAGTTCGTTTGGTATCAACACGGGCGGCGGTGCAGGCGGGAGTTCTGGTGCTGCAAGTTCAGGTATGAGCTCGGGTGTCTTGGTGCCGGGCAGCGCGAGCGGTGGTGTGGGTGGTGTTGGCAGTGGCCTCGGCCCGGCCGGCGGACCGCCTCTGCCGCGAACTGGCCTGCCCGGTGTGCCTTCGCGCACGACCAAGATTTCTGAGAAGCTGGTGCTGCTGCCGGAAACGGCAGACGAAAAGGCCAAGAGCGACGAAGACGACGAGGACGAGGACGGCAACGAGATCAGAGACGCGACATGGGCGGCAGCGGTCGCTGGCGACGAGAACGCCGAGGCGGCACGCCGGGCGCTGCAGCGGGCGCGCATTGCTCTCGAAGAGGCAGCCGAAACCGGCGAAGTTCCGCCGACGGGCAGCAGTTTGTACGACGGCGCCCGACCGCCACGCGATGAAGAGCTGGATGTGCTGCGCAAGCGTGGCGGCATTCGCGGCAAGAGCTACGCCGAGCGCCTGCCCAAGGGCCAGCGCACCGAGAAGGTGGCGCGGCTGACGGCATACTGCACGGCGCAAGCCTTCAAGATGCGGGCCACGGCGGAGTTCTTGCGCACACACCACGCGGCTAAGACGAAACTCTACGACGACTGCCTCTATACGGTGTACCACTTGCCGCTGCTTCCGGGTCACGACGGATATCGCGTACGCAGCCGGCCGATGCTAAAGACGCCTGGCACGGGCAAAACGGTGCTGGACCTGGAAATAGAGCGCAGCGAGCGGCGGGACGAGCATATCGGATACTTTGATGACTATGTATCACAACATGCGGATCATAACAACGGGAACAACAGCAACGACAACAGCCATGGTGACAGGGGCGACCACGATAACGGCCAGCAAATGAACGGCACTGGCGGTCACGGTGACGTCCACTATGAGCGCCAGGCCCAGCAGCAATCGCCAAACGAACAATCCCCGTCCGATCAGGAGCAGCAGCAGCAGCAAGCGCTCTACTCCATGTCGGCGTCGGCCGGCGGACCCGAGAGCCCCATGCCCACGATCGCATCGCCGGTCAACCGGTTAGCACCCGAGGCCAAGCATTTTGCAGAGATGTTTGTGTTCTCATACGGTGTTGTTGTGTTTTGGAACTTTACAGAACTCCAGGAGAAGGACATATTGGCGGACCTGGCCTTTGCGGAGGACGACGCGTCAACGTCAACGTCGCCGGGGGCGCGGTCGCTGGTGACACGCCCGCTGGACGAGGCGGACTTTGAGACGGAGGAGTTCCACTTTGAATACAGCGCCAGCGTGCAGCGCCCACGCGTGTTCAACGACATGATCACGTTGCTGCCACGGTCGGACCACATGGTCAAGCTGACCATTAGCCACGCGATTGCGCAGAGCACGAAGCTGTGCTTCTTTGAGGAGAAAATGTCCGAGACTATGCAGAACGCCCAGGACGTGCCCAAGACGCTGGCGTTGACGGGCGAGCTCAACATGTCGCGGACGGAGATTGTCAAGATCCTGGGGCGGCTGTTCAAGAACCGCGTCGACATCAACCTGTCCTCCAACATTCTGGACGTGCCGAATTTCTTCTGGGACGCCGAGCCGACGCTGCACCCGCTGTACGTGGCGATCCGCGAGTACCTGGAGATCGACCCGCGTATCCAGGTGCTGAACGAGCGGTGCCGCGTGTTCCTGGACCTGGCGGAGATTCTGGCGGACAGTGTGGCGGACTCCAAGATGAGCTCGATTACGTGGATCATCATCATTCTCATTGTGATCAGCATCTTGGTGACGGTGACAGAGGTGACGCTGCGGTTCAGTATTCTGGAAAAGGAAAAGGGCAAGATCAACAACGGAACCGTTCTGGCGAGCGCACGATACCTGCTGTCGTCGTCAGCAACGGCACCGCCCGTGGCCCAGATCCACCAACCGGTCGCGGGTGACACGGACTTGACGCTCGACGAGCTGCGGGCATGGGCGGCCCAGCTGGATGCACGGGAGCGGGCAGCTGTCTGTGGCAGCGATATCATCGGACAGACATTTGCCGGCGTATGAGGGCGAGGGGTGCATTTTGGCATTCCTTCTTTTTCTGCATAGCGACGCGGTATTTGACCGTTTATATATATTCTGTTTGATTTTTTTTGGCATCGTTTACTTTGGGCCAGCGGCGTCTTGGAAAAACCGCCACATACACAATGGCACGTTTTATTATTTATCGTTGTTTATTTTCTTGTATTTCTTGGATTACATTATTCACACATGATATCGTTTTTATCATGTTTTCCGCTAATGTGCTTTATTCGTTGCATCGTGTCTATATGGTTCTTTACAGATCCTGGATTTATCCACACCTTTTTTGCACCTCTTTTCTTACCTCTTTTCTTCCATTTTCTTCTATTTTCCTGATTTCACGCCTCTTTTGGTGCCTCGTCTTTCGGTGTTTCCTTGGCGGCCTCATCGCCCTTTGGCCGTACGGGGTAGTGGGTGCCCTTGTTCTTGACCTTCTTCTCTTTCTTCACGGGTGGCGGGTAGGCCAGGGTGGAAATGTTCTGCCACTCGGGCGACGCGGCGAACGAGTCGCGGATGTGCGCGGTCAGATGGGCAATGGCGTCGGCCACGGCGGGCTTCAGCAGCTGCGGCGTGAGCACATCGTTCTGGTAGTCGGCGTGCATGGCCTTGACGTCGCTGTACACGAGGGGCTCGAGCGCGTCGCGCGTGCGTTCGACGGTGAAGGTGCGGGCGCCGGTCTTGAGCTCGGCGGCCGGCAGCAGCACGTACTCGACAAAGGCCAGGAGGCCGTTGCCCTCGACGATCTTGGGCGCGGCCTCGGCCTTGCGGATCTTTTTGGTGATGGTCTCGGGGCTGTCGAGCAGGTCAATCTTGCTGTCCTCCTCGCTGGAGCTCATCTTGCCGCCGTGCAGACCGGGGATCATGGGGTTCATGATGTGGGCGCGCTGCTTGTAGCCGAGCTTGGGCAGCCACTCCTTGGCGGCCGTGAAGAGCTTGCGCTGGTCGACGCCGCCAAACTGGACGTCGACGCCCAGGTGCTCCTCGTCAAGGATCTGCAGGATGGGGTACAGAAGGCCCGACAGCGGGGCGTTGGTGGACTGCTTGACGATCTCGGCGCCGGCCTTTTTCGCGTCGTGTTCGGAGGTGACGGAGCACAGGCGGTAGACGTCCATGATGTAGTCGGGGGATTTCTGGTAGGAGGAGCCCTTGACGAACTTGAGCAGGGACGTGTCGACGCCGACGGCCTCGAGCATGGCGCGGATGGTCCACTGGTAGTAGTTGGAGCGGTGCTCGACGAGCTCCAGCGGCGCCTTGAGGTTGTCGAGAAAGCCGTGGATGTCGGCGAGCAGAATGGTGACCTCGCAGCCGGCGTGCAGCAGCTGGGCAATCTTGATGGCGGGGACAAAGTAGCCCGTGTGGGGCTTGCCGGTGGTGGCCGTGCCCCAGTAGACCTTGACGGCGCGGCCCTCGTCAAGGATGCCCTCGATGATCTCCGGGTTGATGGTCTCGGCGAGGTTCTCGTAGATGAGGGCGAGCTTCTCCTCCTTGGTCTCGGGCGATTTGCGGGAGGCCATGTTGGCGGCAGCGGGGGCGGAAGGGGTGGAGGGGGCGGAAGGTGGGAAAAATGCGTCGAAGATCAAATGGTCGTCAAAAATGAGGCAATTCGCTTTGCTGAAAGAGTCGTGAGAATCGAAAAAGAGGGCCGATGCACCGACAACGGGGGCCGTGACAGTGAATGCGCCGAGGAAAAGAAAGGACAGGAGCGAGTGCAAGCGGTCGACAAGACGAAAACAAGAGAAAAGGGTTCGTTTCTCTGGTCTAGCAGACTTGGTAGGACGAGGCTGTTAAAAGCACGACTGTTGATTGTTGTGTCGTCCCTGAAGTGACTCAAAAAGGCCGGGGACGCTATTGAAAGGCACTGGAGCAAGGCACAAAATCCTGTCGTTAGTGGGCCACCAGCGCTGCAACAGAGGGGTTGCAGATCGGATTAAGCGAGTAGCGAATCCATCGATATCACTCTAAGCGAATAAGGGCGCTATCTGAAGGAAGTCTCAAACTCCTAGCCGTATCTGGCTAGCGTCTTGCGGTGACGCGCAAAGTGCAGCTGTGTTGAGTGCACTTGCAGCTTTATCTGCGACGTAGTCAGCTCCTGCTCTGGCAGGGCGATCGCGGCTTCCAGGCCTCGCTCTAGGCCTTGATCCCAGTCTCGCCACTGTAAGTATATTTGGAAGCGACGACTGCCTGTCGTCTCGTTCTCTCCTCCTTCCCCTTCTGCCAAGACGGTCGTGCTCGCCAAAGTCGGGCAATTTGTGTTCAATTGAATTTCTACTTTTAGCATCTCTCAATTGTCTTCTTCGTCTTTGCCAACGCCAGTCGGAATAGTTATTCGACACATCTCCCAATACTCGCTTCGCACAACAGTCGCGCAAAACTAGCGACGTCATTGCATCGGCTCCAAATCCCACAAATCTCACTCATCTCGCGATCCACTGTAACCTTCGGTTCTCGGAAACTGTCGACCTCTGCCAGAGAGACTTGTCACCTTTTTTTTCTTATCTCGCCTACCCGCCACCATGTGTATCGTCTTCACGTGCGGCGAGCACACGTTCCGCAAGGAAATCGAGGGCTACGAGGGCGTCGTCTGCCGCTGCCACAACTGCGGCAACTACAGCGGCCACCCCATCAAGACACATCCCTGGTTCACCCTTTGCTTTGTTGTATGTTCCAAGTCCCATGCGTCCTCGTCTCGCTTGAACATTCCTGCTGACAAAACAGCCCGTCATTCCATTCTCGTTCCACGGCTACGAAGACATCGCCTGCCACGTCTGCAACTACTCGGAGCCGCTCGACCAACGTCCGGACGTGCTGGCCATGCGACACGGCGGCGGCGGCCAGGTACCAATGCAGCCTCAAGGCGGCTACAAACCACCGCCGCAAGGACAGTACCAAGGCCAACAGCAAGGACCACCGCAGCCGCAGCCGCAGCAACAGCCGGGGCAGAACGGCGCCATGCGGTACGGCTAGTACAGACACAGCAAGATGGAGATTAGCCGGTTGTTGTTGGCACTGTATTTTTTGGGTTTTGTTTTGCAATTTGCGCTTCATTTGCCCTTGTTTCTATTGTTCTCTGCATCTATTCCGTCACTCGTTCTGCCTTATTTGTCCATCTTTTCTACATGTCACGGCGCAGGTTGACCATTGGGGTATTTTGTTGTAGGGATTTTTCCGTCAGTATTGTTGGCATTCGCTGTATATTACTCCGGAGAAATTGAGGGAGTTAAGATCACAATTCCACAGTTCTACATGATTATACAAGACAGTTTCCGCCCGAAATGCGTCACAATGCCGGCAGGCCTCCCATATGCGGCTTGGTCGAACTATATGACGTCTTGGCTTCTCAGCTACTCACCAGCCAACGTAATACTTGCTGTGCTCCAGTGTACTCTCACGGCGCATCCCAGTGGCTGCTGCTGTCCGGCAGCCGCATTAGCGTGCTTCTGACGCGTACGAATACCCCACAACTGGGCGTCGTGCGGCGTATCAAGCACCTAAAACATAGCGCGGTTTACTGTGACACGATAAGCTGCATCTTATCGCTAAATTTTGCAGTAGCATCTAGATCATCGCCCTGGCCCATCACCAGCAGTAAGAAGCAACACAGACACGTCCGACACAGCCCACCATGCTGCACGACCTCAGCCTCGTGTGGACGTCCGACACGCCGGCCGCCGATGTGGCGAGTACGCTCGCCATGAGCGCCGAGCTCGGCTACGACGTGGTCGCCCTCGATCACGTCTATAGTGGGCCTTTGCCGCCCATCATTACGAATCCTTTGGAATCTGTTGTCAAGGTAGCAACTGGTGTGATGGGTTCCGCTGCCGCAACGACCTCGACGAGCTTAACGGCCTCAACAGCCCCAGCCCCCCGGCCGCGCATCCTCCACCGCGCCACCATCGTCGTCTCTGACTTCGCCGCCAACCACCGCCTCGGCGCCTTTGCCGCCGCCTACGACCTCGTCGCCGTCCGCCCGACCAATGAAAAGGCGTTTCAGTCTGCCTGCCTCAACATGACCGAGCCCGCCCTCATCAGCCTGGACCTGACTACCTACTTCCCCTTTACTTTAAGCCCCGCACCTGCATGGCCGCCGTGCGCCGCGGCCTGCACTTTGAAGTGTGCTATTCACAGGCCCTGCGAGGCGGCACCAGCGGCGGTGGCAGCGGCGCCGGCGATCATGGATCCTCGGCGTCGTCCTCGGCCGACAAGAGCGGGAGCGCCGCCCGCGCGCGGGCCCTGTTCGTGGCCAACCTGACGGGCCTGATGCGGGCGACACGCGGCCGCGGTATTGTCGTGAGTTCCGGGGCCCACATCAAGGGTGGCGGCGCGTTTGAGCTGCGCGGGCCGGCCGACGTCGTGAACCTGCTGGCCGTATGGGGCCTGCCGCCGGACCGGGGAACGGAAGCGATGGCAGCGCTGCCGCGGAGCATTGTGGCCAACGAAGGTCTGCGGCGGCGCGGGTTCCGGGGTGTTATCGATGTTGTTCAGGCAGCAGGTGGTGGCGAGGCGATAGAGACGGCCGGCAAGCACAAGCAAGGGAAGGAGAAGGAGAAGGAGAAGCAGCAACAACAGCAGCAGCAACAAAAACAGCAAAAACAGAAACATCAGAAAGGCACCGACCAGAAGAAGCGGAAGGCCGACGATGGGTTGGCCAACGGTCCACCACAGGCACGGCAACAGCAGTCGAAAAAGCAGCGCAAAGGGCCATGATAGCCTACAGACCAGAGTGTGCGATAGGAGCAACAGTGCTACGCAAGACGTGGGCATGTACAGTTACAGACAGCAACGATACCCTAAGAAGCATGGCGAAGCATCAAATTTGAATCATCTTGTTTTTATTTTGATAAAGAGTCTTGCTCTTTCCCCCACTGTCCATTTATATTTTCAAAGTAATACATTTTGCTGGCCCGCAGGTACCGGGGCAGACGCTCTCTCGCCTTTCTTCGGTCCTTCTCTCGGTCCCTCGAAAAGGTTGTCGGATTATATACAGCGGAAAAGTAGAAGGGACTTAAAACGAGAGAAAGATACAGAAAAGGAAAGACGCAAAACCCGAAGAAGAGTGACAAAAAAGAAGCCAATGTAAAGACAGAACGGGGTCCAGAGGACGTACGAGGCGAACCAGCAACAAAAAAACCCTACCAACCCAACAGGCCCAGCATGGTCTAGGAACTTCCTACTTCAAGCAGGCACTAATGTCTGGGCCGCCAGGTTACCGAGGGTCAGCACACTGTTCAGAGACAGGCCGCTTAGGTTGATCGACAGCTCCTGCGGGTTGTTGGCTACAGCCGGTGCAGCAGCGACCGGCGCGGCCGTCGTCTGCACAGATCCCAGGTCCACGGTCGTCTGCAGCGAGTTGATTGAGGTCAGAGCAGTCAAAGCAGGGAGACCAGCAGCAGCCGTGGTTCCACCTAGGGGGACGAGAGTGTTGGCAGAGGAGGCGGTGGTGGACACAGCGGCGGGTTGGACAGCAAGCGAGGTGGCAGACGAGAGCGGCGGGAGACCAACAGCAGCGGCCGAGGTGGACGTCGACAGAGGCGGGAGCGCAGCGAGGGACGGAGAGGTCGCGGCAGCAGCACCCGCGACATTCGAGGTGGCCGCAACGGCCGGAGCCGTCGCGGCAACAGCAGACGCCGCGGGTGGCACGACCTTGGTGGAGGTGCGCGCAGCGGCGGGCACGGCAATGACCGTGACACCGACACCGCCCGTGGGTGTACCATCAACGGCACCACCTGCCGCGACGCCACCCGCCGCAGCTGCATCAGTCGCAGCCACGGGGGCAGCGGCAGGAGACGACGCGGCAGCCGCAGCACCGGCCACGGCAGCCGATGACACCGCCACAGGCGCGGGCGCAGCGGCCGCCGCACCAGCTGCAGCTGCCGTCACAGTCACACTGACAGTCTCTGTCACGGTCGTCGCATCGGCCGAGACCGTCACCGTCACCGTAGCAGGTGCAGCGGATACAGCTGCCGCACCGAGAGCGACGGCGGCTGTAGGCGACACAGCGGCACCAGCGGCACCAGCGGCACCAGCGGCACCGGCGGCACCAGCTGCAACAGGAGCAACAGGAGCGGACGGCTCTGCGGGTGACCGAGACACAGCAATCACGGTCGCATTGCCGGTGTCGGCAGGCTGGGCACCAACAGTAATCGTTTGGCGTGCAGTTACGGTGCTGACGGTTGGGCAGTTGTTGTTGGCGCCGTTGTTGGCATTGGCGTCTCCTCCGTTTCTGCCGTTGCCATTGTTGCTGTTGTTGCTGTCGTTGTTGCCATTGTTGCCTCTGCCATTTCCATTGTCGTTGCCATTCCCGTTGCCGTTTCCGCTGTCGTTGTTGGCATCTTTGTTGCCGCCAATGCCCAGACTGCTGAGCAGACTTGAGACAAAGTCCCGCCTCACAGCGTTTGGCCGGTCGACCGCCGCTGCCTGAATTTTATTAGTTTGCACTCAAGAACTGTTGCTTGTTGATGAATGATATGAACCCACCTGTGCCAACGTGAGCGATGCCACCACCAACAAGGCCGAGGGCTTCATGATGAAATAGATTTGCGTTGAATAAAAAATAATCGAAGAAGAAAATAAGACGGTATCGAACGAGTCGAAGCAAAAAAGGACTGGATACCCAACAGGACCGGCCTTGCGAGTGCGAGAAAGACGAAGAGACGCCAAACGATGTGACTGAAATTGCTACTTGTCGTCGACTGTCGTCAATGTCGAGATGTCGAGATGTCGAAATCGCAATGCTCCGATTCGAGGTAGTTTGTCGGTCCGAGATTGTCAATGTTCAAAAAAGAATGGCTCCAGAACGTCCATCTGCGTTCTGACAGAAAACATACAAAAAAGGTACAATACAAAAGTACACAAATAGAAGAAAAGAAAAAATTTCCGAAGAAAAGAAAGCCAGCTCGTTGTCGACGAAAAAGAACGATGGTCGACAAGACAGACTTCTGCAGCTGATTTGTTTCTTCAAACGGTAAGAGAAGTGAGAGGCGTGAGAACGAAAGAGAAAGGTAAGAGAGAGAAAGAGGGGGGGACGAGAAGAGAAAAGCCAAGACCAGAGAAAAGAAGGAACAGAAAGATGACGAATACGGAGAGTCGGTAGTGAGAAGGAACCAGCAAAAAGACGAGAAGAAAAGCTTGGCCTCTAGAAACAAAGAATGAAGAAGAATAAAACAGGAGAGCGATTGGAGGCTCAAACGACTTACACTGTCTGCACCAAATGTCGTCGGGGTCACCCCCGGTCATCCCCAAGAACAGGACGGGGACCCGTAGCGTACTGCTAAGTACGACAGACAAAATACAAACCCTGTGCTTTATTCGACAGAGCATGTCGCACAGGGTTATTGGCTGGTGCCTTTGAGCAAAAGTCGGTGCATGGAACGACGCATTGCGGTCTTCATCAGGGTCTGTCGGAGATGGGTGGGTCGAGGATCCCAGTCGACAGCATTGCCCGAAGGCCTTGTCGCGGTCTGGGCCTTTTTTTTCTGGTGGGAACAGAAGACTAATACGACATGACAGCCCCTGGCGAGACTTCACAAGAGGGACACAAAAGAGAAACCCAACACGAACGGCCGGCCGACAAAACGAAACAGAGTCTATTCTGGGGCTGACGCGGCCTTGTTAGGGGACGTCAAGAATGTGAAAAGGAGGCATCACGGCAGGGCCACGGCCGCCGGGGAGTGCTAGCATGAGCGGTTGCGTGCTGGGGCTGCCAATTTGTCGTACTTCCGTATGATGTTGTGAATGATGCGGGCCACCTTTTGATTGTATTTCATGTCAAAAAGGGGTGTAAAGGTACCTTTTTTGCCGTCAGCAGAACCAGACGGCCGCAACGATTCAGGAGATGTTGTCAACAAAAGACAAGGCAATGGCCCTGAGGGCGTCGCCTGGACCTTGACCTGGTGGCCACTGCACGGCGTGAGTGAAAAGAAAGGCAAAATAAGCTTTCCGTCAGAACAGGGACGAGGAACAACGATGCTGTCAATTGAGCAGACGGAGTAGGTCGAGGGTGTCGGAGGATGTTCGAGGGTGGGCCCAGAAACGGATGTTTTGGGTTTCTGAGACGAGGACCGTGACGGCTTGTGTTTGAGGTTGGCGGCTTAGCATTGCTGGGGCAGGAAGCCATGGTGGGTCGGGGACGCTGGAGCGGTCGAACGTGCCTGCCGTGGGCCTGACTGGCTGAATTTTCTAGGAAGGCACGATGGACATCGAGCTTTCTGCGTACAAAACTCGCTTTTGGTTGGTCTTTCCTAAATCAGACCATGATGTGCCATGATGTGCCATGATGCGCTTGAAGAAGAGACCGGCAGCCACGCGATTCGATGCTGGGAAGGTGCGACGGGGCGCCAACGGAAGGTGCCATTGACAACAGCGCCAGCGTTGGCCAGCGATTGGCGTACACTTTAAGATGTGTGAATGCATTGGCTTTTGTTTTGAATAACAGGACAGAATGACGACTGCAACAAATTGTGTATCAAAAATACAGCGCGGATAAGGAGAAGTATTTGGAAGCAAGACCTACAGTGACAGGATGCCAATAAAACAGTGTGATAGTGAGCTCTGTTATTCACAACGGGCGATGGAGGAGGAAGGAGCGATATAAGTCATAGGATGGAATAAAAAACCAACGATTTTCATTTTTTTTTTTTTTTTAAAAAAAAAAGGTCTCGCTGGGTATAACCACGAAGCGCCCCGAAAGCTGTTACAATGCTGGCATAAATTTTGGGACCTGATATTCTGATAATGGAGGGGCTGTGCACGGTGATGGGGTATCATTTCGGAGACCCTATCTAGGCCGTCACGACCTCCTTTCAAGTGAAGCTATTTTGGGATGAGAACAAAAGAAAGATACAAAGTCCAAGGACAAAAGGGGGTTTGCAAAATAAAATCGGGTTAATTCTGGCGTTTCCATTTCTCTGATTTTGTTGTGCGAGGAAAGCCAAACACAGCAAAGCATTCATATCTATTCGTTTCTTAGGATAAAGAGCTATACAAATAAGATCACATAGAAACTGGACAAGCTAATCAGCTATGTCAAAGGCAAGTAAAAATCTATGATGCCCGCCCGGAATACCAGCACGTTAAGCACAGCAAAGCATTCGATAAGAGGCAACCCTACGAGCCAAAGTATGGTTGTCAGCCACGGCGCCATGTCTGTGCAACCGCCCGAGTCGGGTCTCGGATTCTTTTGTGGCTTGCAGATGGTAATTGCGCCTTCGTGGTATCCAGCCCGTTCCCAGAGTCTCGTGGGCCAATGGTTTGACCCATGCGAAAAGCGCCCCTCTCAGCTGAGATCGTGACTCGTTATTTGAAGCTGGGCGTGTCGGTGTTGGCGTCGATTTGCACCTACAAATATTTACCCCAAAGCGCATCGTAGAGCGACAGCTCCATGACTGAGCGGACCAACATCATCAACGCCTTCCATCACCATGGCGATCCACGTCTTCGACAAATTCTACCTGGGCCTCACGGCCGTCATCACCGTAGGCTACCAACTGGTGTTTTTCGCCGTTGCCTTTTGCTTGCACTCTGATAAACTGACGGGTGAGTCTTTCTGGCATACGCTGCTCGCTGTCACAGCGTGCGAGGCTGACCTCGTACAGATTTTGCGGGCGGCAGCAACTTTGTGGTTCTCGCCGTCGTCACGCTCGTCCTCGGCAGCCGGGATCCCCCGTACGATACCGTGGCAGCCGTCCCGCAAACGCGGCAGCTCGTCATTACCATTCTGATGTCCGTCTGGGCCGCCCGCCTGAGCAGCTTTTTGCTCGTCCGCATCCTGCGCACCGGCCACGACAGCCGCTTTGACAACTTGCGCGACCGCTTTTTCCCCCTTTTGCAGTTCTGGGTCGGCCAGATGGTTTGGGTCTGGACAGCATCGCTGCCTGTGACCGTGCTCAACTCGCAGACCGTGCAAGGCGCCGAGCAGGTGGGAAAGATGCCGCCTTTCGGCACGGCGCGCGACATTGCCGGGACGATCATGTTCGGCATTGGCTTTTTGTGCGAGTCGGTGGCCGACGCCCAGCGGTTTCGGTTCAGGGAGAGAAAATCGGCCGACAACAGCAACAGCGGGCTTGCGTTCTGCCACACGGGTCTCTTTGCGTGGTCGCGCCATCCGAATTATTTCGGCGAGATCTTGCTGCAATTTGGCCTCTTTACCATCGCCACGTCCGACACCCACTTTCGCGCCCCCTACGGTACGCATCCCGGCTTTACGTCGGCCATCTATGCCACCGTTGTCGGCCCGGTCTTGCTCACGCTGGTGCTGTTGTTCGTAACGGGTCTGCCGTTGTCGGAGCGGTCGGGCGCCGCCAAGCGATACGCAGCCGGGGGCGCCATCTGGGACGAGTACCGCCTGTACCTGCACCGCACCAGCATCCTCATCCCGATGCCGCCGGCTCTGTATGCGCGACTGCCCGTCGTTGTCAAACGCACCCTGCTGCTTGAGTTTCCCATGTACGTCTTCGTCCCAGGACGGAACGACTCTCGCACCAAAGACCCACAGCCTGCTACCGGTCCTCCCCAGGCCATCAACCGGGAGGCCGAGCACGGCGACGATCCCGATGCGGTTCCCAATGACCATCATATGCCTCAGTCAGCATCCACCCTGTCGTCGGCGGCCAAGTAAGCAGTGCGGCTGCGAGTGCGACGGGCCATGTATAGTATATCGTTGGATGCCATGCCAGTCGCTATTTTGTGGTTGGAATTTTGGAGTTTAGATAGCCGCGCTACTTTTACGAATGTTATTCTTTTCTCGCTTTGTCTTTGTCTTAACGACGGCAGATGCAGCACATGAGAGTCAGTCTATGCACCTTTGCACTTGCCACTTTTAGCACTCGGCGACCCTTGGCAAAATAAATGGGGCCAGGCCAACGACACGCAGTGGTAAGGAAGGCACCCTGGAGTAGCCTTCGGAACTAAGATCTTCCTTCCGGCCAAATGTTCCCCAATCGGCGGCTCTGCGTCTCGCGCCAAACAGCTCACTTTTTTTCTGGGGCGTGAAAGGCCATTGAGCATCACGAACGACGACGAAAAGGTGCACACGACCGCACGGCGCAACGAGCAGCCACACAACGACGGACGGTGCACCAACGACTCCGCCTGTCTTTGCTTTCTTTTTGCGTGCCAATTGTACTTGCACGTGCCCAATTGCTGCAACCGGTGTCCCTCACGTGAGTATAGCCTCCAAACTTACATCTGCCACTGTTTTTTACTTTTTTTTTTGTTTACGGGTTTCCAAATTGAAACTCGACGAGGCACAGAGCACTAACGAAAACGGCCTCTGCGCATTCTTTGTTGCCAACAGTAGCACGCACAGAACGACAGACATGAACTCCTTACGAAGAATACGGCCAGCGCCCCTCGGCCGCGTGCTCGCCGCCGCGCCGTCTCGGTTGGCTGCTTGCGCCGTCGGCATCACATCTGCATCGACCGGCCAGCCGCGGCACTTTGCACACCCCTTCTCCTCCGCTCCTTCTCTCTTCTTCGCCGCCTCTCCGCGCGCGCCATTACGCGCGTCTTCCCATCTCGAGTTCGCCTCCTCTTCGTCCTCTTCGCTCCCCTCCTCGTCGCCTTCCACAACCTCAAAACCAGCCTCCAAACATGTGCCGGACCCGATCCCGTTTGTCCCCGACGTCGCGAGCTTTTTGAAGATTATTGGTCGCAACATGAAGCAGCACACATCCAAGTTCCCGACCTGGGAGGCGCTCTTCACGCTGACGTCGAGGCAGCTGCGCTCGTTGGGCGTGGAGCCCGCACGCGACCGGCGGTACCTGCTGCGATGGCTCAATCTGTTCCGCGAGGGCCGGTTCGGCATCGGCGGCGATTTCCAGTTTGTGCGCAACGGCGTGGCGGAGCTGCGGGTGTACGAGCTGGTCGACCCGGAGAACCCCATCAATGTGAAAAAGATGGTGGCGAATGTACCGGTACCACCCGAGGCGCCAGCCGCCGCCGAGGCGACTGAGGGTGGGGGTGAGGGTGAGGGTGAAGTTGAGGGTGATGGTCCAGCTGCGGCCGAACCTGTAGCGGTCGACCCTGGCTACGATTTGAACGCTCGGCCGGTGCTCGTGCGCGGCTACAAGGTGGTGGGCGCCCGAGCCATCGCGGGCCCCTATGCGCTGCCACGGCCACAGCAAGAGGGTTCGGCTGTGAAGCTGACGGAAGGCATGTGGGAGCACAAGCGCGGCCGCAAGATTGACGGTGGTGAGCGCCGCCGGGCCGAGGTCCGCTTCAAGCGCCGCGTCGCCGAGCGCCGGGCGGCGCGCGAGGCTTTGCTGCATGCATCAGGCCTCTAAGCGGGCTCTGGCCCATCTGTTAGTGGCGTGTACGTTTCTCGAGCAAAACAAGAAAGCAAGTCGTATTATCCTGTACATTACAAAACTCATATAGTCAGAAGGTCATTGGGTGCAATAGAACCTCCAAAATACAACAAGCCTTCTATTTTTGTCATTGTTTTTTTACGAGACAAAGTGACACAGACGGGCAACTAAGCCTGTGTGAGACAAGCTCGTCCTCCATCCAAGTGACCACGGAGGTTGTCCACGTTATTGGCGCATCTATCTTGGGAAAGGCAGATTTGGGGTCTATTGCCCAGGCCCGGAGAAGGTTCCGAAGAGGTGGAAGAGTTGCACGAGTACCGTTTGGATCCAGGGGTAAGACGGCGACAGCGACAGCGACAGCTCCCAGTGTCAAGCGATACAGAGTAGTGAATCGTGCACAGCGAATGAAAGAGGGGGTGACCTCCCGGATGCATACACGAAGGGAATACGAACCGCCGCCTCGGAAACTCTTAATTCTTGGCCGGTTTTTTTCTGAAGACAGTGTGACGGCACTGCGTCAGATTTCTGGTTGCCTCACAACTGTTCCAAGTAGCCCAAGAAACCTCGGAAGTGAAAAGAACAGCCTTGCTGCCTGGCGTGACGCGGCTGCTTGAGGCTTTCGTAAGCTCCATCTCTACCTTGTCCAACAGAAGCACGTCCCATAGCCAAGGCTTCGGGATGGACCGTCCGAAGCACGATACGGCCCTCCGTTTTGTTTTGTGCCTTGTTTTATGAGTCCGATTTTCTTTCCGTATTTATTTTTTTCTGATATGGTTGCTCACAAAATGGTAGCGTAAGACACGCCAGCACGTCTTCCAGTCGTTTTGTGGCCGTTCCGGCCTGGTCTGTGGCATTTGACTGTTGAAATCGTATGTCTGCCTGGCTCAGCCCTACACAACGATCCTCCGTCTGGCATAAACGTGAGACAGCATGCCACTTTTTAAGCTCACTCCTTCCAGATGAGGCCTTACTTTTTCCATCTTGTCTTGCCACTCTCGCCTCTCTTGTCTCTTTGCAGGTGCCGGGGGAGAGAAATGGAGGACTCTCATTCGTGGATACGCGCGATATCATGATTTGCCATGGACATGGTCTGAGGAAGGAGGTGTGCACATATACTACAGGATATATGGCAAGGCTGAGGCCATACTGGGGCCAGGGCTTAGGCACATGTCGGATACAGGTTGAAACTTGCCAACCCGCAAATAACGTCATCTTGGGAAGCTCATAGCGAAGTATGGCGATGCCATGGCGATACGCAGTCATAGTTGACTTGAGACAAAGATTCGTTGGCGATTTTCAGAATATGGACGACGTATGAAGGCCACGTCGGCAACATGGCGGCAGGCAGTGGTGCAACACTGAGAATGCGTGATGCGTCCGATGACGACCGTTCCACGAAGCATCAAGGCACCAAGACCATTTTTTGAGATGCTCGGCCAACAGTTCTGCAACACAGTGGTGATGACATCAGTCAAGACGAGGCAACAATGGCCTCACCCTCTGCAGTGGCTGCACTACAGCTGTGCGCTTGCATCGTGCATCGTGCGCAGCATGTCTAGTCCATCATGAAGTGAGACGGAAGACGAAGAAGACAACGAAGTAAACGATACAAGCCACACCCCGTTGCATTGAACAAGATAGCATCGACGCGGCGCCTTCGTCAGCGCTGGCCCACCATAACGGCCACTCTAAATGGTCGCTGCCTTGCGCTTCCCACTTGGGCCGGATGTGCACATCATTTTTTTGTTATTTCCATGGATTCGATGGGAGCTTGTCGCGCCTGTGGAAACGAGCATCAGGCACGTGTCTGCGTGTACATGCGTACGTCTTAGACTCTGACGCACACAGGAGACGAGCAGAACCAAAAAAAAAAAAAAAAAAAAAAAAAAAAAAAAAAAAGGAAAGTAGCTTCCAGCAAAGTTGGGAAAACGGGCCAGGTGTGTCGAGTAAGTGAGGGGGGGATGCTGGAAGCTAGAAACGGAAAAGAGTGTGTAAGAGTGTGTGTGAAAGAGAGAGGGAGAAAGTCGGTAGGCGCGTCCGTCGGACACGGGCAAGATGTAAGTACCGGCCGCCGCTGCTTATTTTTTAGAACGGCCGTGTCGTTATTTCGACAAGCTGGTCCTATTGGTACGTTTTGGAATGGAGCTCGTTGCTCACTTTCCTCTGCTCGCCATCTCTGACTGGGTATATTCCGCGCGGTGTACGGAGTACTTTGCCCATTTGGGGAAGCCCCAATTTGAAAATGGAGCTGGACTCCGCCAAACCAAAACGGTCCCATTCTGGGGACAGTTATGACTCCCAGAGCTCGTTAGTATAGTCGTGTTGGCCCGTCATGTCCGTTCCTCGGGTGGATCTGTCGACCGGCGGTGTACTTTAAAGCTCCGTCTCGGGTTTTTGTCGTAAACCAAATGTGAACGCCAGTGCCTGAAACTGTGAGATCCTTCACTGCGGTTTGCACGTTGTTTCTCGAGCCGTTTGTGTGGGCATGTCGAACAACCCTTTGGGCGTGTCTGTTGTGGTATTGTGGGGATGTGATGTTGCGAGGATGAAAGGAACGGGGCCAAAGCCTCGCGTGTTAGGCAGCAACATTGTTTGGTGTGCAGGGTTTCTGTCGACATCCCGCCTTTTCAACTGCTGGAAGGCACGACTCGTGCCCCAATTGAGCGGTGGGGGTGTCGGGGAACGAACTGGAGACACAGAAGGAACGAGGGACGCTAGGGTTCTTTCCTTTTTCTTTGCGTCTTCTTGTCGTCGTTCCTTCTTTCTCTGGCAAGGCTTGAGGGATTTCGCCGACTGTGCAGAAGGAACGACCGGTGAGCCAAGGCCCCCTGATAGGGGGACTCGCGCTGAGGCAATGTGACTTCCCATGTTCTGGTGCTGGCCGGCAGGTCGCAATTACCAATGACGCAACTGACTAAACGACGTATGGGCATTTCGCGTTTCACGACCCCGATCGACTTGTGTAGCAAAACATCGTCATGCCGGCAACGCCATCGTGCACATCAACTCCGCATTTCCGCCGACACGACGATGTACGGACGGGATGAATACCAGAAAGAGCCCGCTCACACCCGCGGCAGGCATTGACATGCATACATATCTTACGTCGAACATCTCCGGCAGTGACTCATCTGGTGGGACTTCTTGTCCTTAGTCTCCCACAATTAAATATGGTGCATATTGCGTTCTGCATGTTGCATTGTGCACGCTGAAGTGTCCCGAAGTCAAAAGCTGAGCTCACTGTACCCCATTCCACGTTTTCGACAGCTCTACCGCGACGCACCAGACGGACGCAGCGTGCAGGGTGGGT